GCAGAACTTTCTGCGAGCCCAGCTGCGTCAACTTTGAACTTCCCTAGTATCTGTACTGGATCTCTCTAACAGATGACGATCAACAAGTGCTTCTTTCCAGCTCGAGCCCTCGGAGCACATCGTGTGGACACCGTGCTTTAACAGGTATATGTGTGCATGACTCATCCTTCCGCTCGACTACCTCTCGCCTCCTGGATCGGGGCCAAACGCGACCATCGCTCTCCAGATGCTTCCGGCAACAGATACGGAAAACTACGGCGGACCAGGTGGCTCTGGTACAGCAGCTATGCTGAGCTTTTCGGAACATATGATGGCGGGTCATTCGATATCCTCGATTTTGATCCGCGGGGTGTCGGCGTGAGCACGCCGTTGCTTCACTGTTTCGATTCGGACGCACAGCAAAAGATATGGGATCTTCCTATCGTCAGCCTTCTTCCCAACATCACAGATAGCTCAATAAGAATGGTGCGCGCTCGCGCGAGAGCAGTCGGTAAGAGATGCGAAGAGCTGAGCGGAGGGAATGGGAAAGTCGATCTTGGCGCTTCTGCAGAAGAGTGGGGAGCCGCTCGATTCATGAGCACCGCAAGCGTCGCAACTGACATGCTGAAGATCACTGAGAAGCTGGGTCAAGATAAAGTGCACTACTGGGGATATGTTGGTATCTCCTGTATCTGACCATGTCGCGAGCTGAAATATGATCCTTTCAGAGCTATGGTACAGTTCTTGGGCAATAGTTTGCCGCGATGTATCCGGACAAGGTGGGCCACATGGTGCTAGATGGTGTCTTCGACGCATACGACTACCGCTCGTCAATGTGGAACACGAACTTTATGAACACCAACTCGATTTTTGACGCGTTCTTCTCGCTACGTCATGTAGCTGGTCCAGACAAGTGCGCGATGTACGACTCGACCCAGCACCGGATTAGGATGAGAGTTGACAGTGTGATGCAGCGTCTCGCAGAAGAGCCTGCTATTGTCCCTTTCGCCCACGGCGGACCCGCTCTCATCACCACAACACAACTTCAGCAGTTTCAGTTCCTAGCGACGTACAGTCCCTTCCAGATTTTCTCCTATCTGGCAGATCTATTGGTGGCCATAGAGCGGAATAACCAGACCGCCCTGGCTTTACTCACGAACGGATTCACGCCTCTCTTCATTTGTGCCGAGACATGTAGAGACGCTCCAGATCACTGGGCTGAGTTCGCCCAAGCACTGGCGGCCATCGCATGCGGAGATGGGGACCCAGTCTCGTACGATTCAGAGGGCCAAAAACGGGACTTTGAGCGCATGTACGCCCAAGCGTCATTTGCTGCTCCCTTCTGGACTGGCCATTACCTTCGCTGCGCCGAATGGCGCATCCGACCCAAGTGGCGCTACACAGGCTCCTTGAAAGCCGCGCAGACCGCTCATCCGCTGTTGCTCCTCTCGCCGCGCTATAACCCTGTGGCCCCGCTCTTACATGCGCAGGCCGTGCAGATACGATACGGAAGAGCGGGCCTCCTTGTGCAGAATTCGTGAAGGCACTGTTCAATCGGTGCCCCGTCGTTGTGCACAGCGAAACATCTCCGTGCGTACTTCTAGCATGGGGTTCTTCCAAAAGAAGGTACCGTGTGTGATGCGAATGAGTTGCCATTGGTAGGGCCGGTGGGCAAGGGTGTGGAGATGTTGTCTCAAGAAGACGCAGAGCTGCTTGATGCTTTGAAGGGTCTGGCTGACGAAATCTCGAAAACGAGACGTTGACTATAGACTGTGTTTGGCCACTATACTGCTTACCTATCACTACTCACAATCAAACCCCATTCAGATTGAGTCTAGCGGAATATGTCGATGGATAAGTAGACAAAACCACAACTTGCTAGTAGCACAAGATACTGGCACATGACAATATGGAGGCATAGCGTCTGGATGCAAACAGGTGAAAGTCATTAAGTAGTGTCACAAGTAGGGCGCAAAGTATCAGAGGACGCAGGCGAGGACACCAACAAGTCCTGCAGCTGCGAGGGGACCACTCATCCTCACTGCAAGACTCCCGCTCGAATGCCCGGAAGCAGAGCCGGTGGTCGTCGGACCTCCACCCCCGCTTATTATGGTCTGTGTTTCGCCAGCGGTACCAGTAGTGCTCGAACTGGCGGAAGATGAAGTGGCTGGTGCAACAGCAGCGATGGCAGCGACCTTCGTCCATGTTGCGGCCGTATTTACAGAGACGTCGCCCTCAGTGTATGGGAAGAACATGACATTTCCCTTGCTGTCGAGCTGTACAAGGGCAGTAATACTTGCCGCGTATGTGGCTGCGGCGTCCTTCGTCGACGGGCCGGTATATGCCTCAGTGGTGTTCGTCTCGACGTTGATGACGTAAGTCGCAGAGCCGTCTTCGGGGATGAAAGCGAATTCCTGCTGGACGCCCTCAGCCTGGAAAAATGATGCAGTCTTTCCCTGCGTTGCGGGTATGGTGCCACCGCCCGCGACTGGGTATGGCTGCGATGCAGGCTGGAAATAGTTGTCTGTAATGTGAGTGTAAGTAGACCCGGCAGAAGTTCACAAGTCAATAGCTCCGTACAGTGGATGACGAATATGTCTGCACTTCCAGCAGGTACGCCAGGCACGTCCAAAAAGTGGATGTGATTTTGAGCGAGCGCCATTACGGGGCTTGTATACGAGGATGGGTATGGCGATTTGTCTGCATCTATCCAGGAAATGGCAGTTGAATTCGCCGAAGTCATCGAGCCCATGTTGAGATAGAAGAGCGAGCCTTGTGAAAGCGCGTAGAATACATTCGTGTCGTGGTCCAAAATGGCGGCAAAGTTGGTGGCATCGAATGAGCCTGTGATGACAGACTGTCGGGACCACGATTTCCCAGCCGCATCGTATATGTGCACCGCCGACGAATCGGAAGAGTTTCCGTTCAAGACGTAGACTGCGTTGAAGAACTGCGCAAGATAGCACGTAGTGTTAACTCCATCGAATGGACTGCATGAACGAGGTCAGTTGATGTAATGCTAAATTCGAGTGCTATCTACTTACGGTCTGCCATTTGCAGTTATATCAGCGGCAGTGCCTGAGCTCAGATAAGTCAGCATTGTACACCAACCTGACAGCATTTCATAAGAAAAGTGATGCAGAAGTGTACACACCGTTGGCCCAAGATTCTTGTGTCCCTGCATTCCAGTCCTTGCCGTCAAGACCGAATGCAAGAAGGTTGAAGCTGGAGTCGAACGAGACGCATGGCGATGACAACACGGTTTGTGATATAACGAGAAGGAAAAGAGAGACAAAGGTCGGCAGACGCATCATGCTATACGCGAAGATGCGGGGGAAGAAATAGACAATGTGATTTTGATTTGCTTCGAGGCTCCGGCGCTTGATGAGATGTATGTCTTGGCAATCACGAGACATCAATGTGGGAACCAATAGATTAAATAATTATTTACAAGGCAAGATAGCATAATAGTTGGAATGACGCTGACTTGTAGCATCGACCTGGCATCGACTCCCAGAAAGACGTGCGGGTCCATTTCTATCGTCTTTCTCAACTCATTGCATGCTCGCCTTGCGATGGTCGCGCATCAAACTGTGTAATTATACTTCAAAAAACAGGAATCTTCACTACTCTGCTGCTTGCCATTCCGTGCAGATGAACTGGTCAGCATCGGTGCTTAGCACGGTTTCATCGGACACTGAGCCTACAATTGTCGTGAACTTTGACAACGGGAAGTATATCTTCAATGTAGGAGAAAATACCGGGAGGTCGTGGCTTCAGAGCAGACGGCATTGGAGAAAAGCCAAGGGCATATTCTTGACCGCTGTAGGGACGCAGAGATGCAGTGGCTTGCCTGGTGAGTTTTTTTCGAGACGCGAGCATGTGCCCGGTGCTCATGCATCGTACCCTGTCTCTTATCACAGAGGACGTCTCGTGCTGATGCTTGGCCAGGGCTATTGATGTTCCTTGCTGATGCCAATATTAAGGGCGTGAACGTGGTTGGCCCCAAGGGTCTCACGCACTACATGGCGTCTATGCGCAATTATCTCTGGCGGTTCGTCTGTACTCCTGACTTCATCATATCGCGTGTATGAAATAACATAACAGTGTTTCCATGTCTCTATCTCTTACTGAAGTCCCATCCGAGCCCGTCTTCAGCGAATCAAATGCACCGGAGCCTGTATACCAAGACGAGAGCATCACGCTATACGCCGTGCCTATACACATATCGCCTGGTAGTTTAGAGGGATTTTCGTCTGGCCATTTCAAAAGGAAACGGTCGCCTTCGCCTTCGTCTCCCTCTAAGCGGCTGCAGGTGGATAGTTCTTCGGAGATTGAGCAAATCCCAGTCTCTCTAGCTACCACAATACAGCGTCCGGACTTTTCTCCATTAGCCTTGCTCGGAGCCCAGGCTGAGGAATGGCGCAGGCTCACGATCGAGAACATGTTCCCGTACAAAACACGTCCATCTGTACCCGGTCCGTCGAAAAAAGAACGCCGAGATCAGAAACAACAGAATAAGCAGAGTAAAGCACAAAAAGATACAGCTGCAGAGGACCAGGATTTGGAGAGGATTGATAATATACCACCCTCGCCGCCAAAATACAATCAAGCGCTTCCCTTCAAGGAACGGCGGTTACCCCCATTCTCGTACTCGGACAGCGGCAAGGGATCGAAAGCGGCACTGTGCTATGTACTAGTCGGACCCCGTGCGCGAGGGAAATTCGACGTCGCCAAATCTGAAGCGCTTGGAGTCCCGAGCGGCCCCCTACGAGGCAAGCTCACGAAGGGTCTTTCAGTCACGTTCACCGTAGCAGACGAGAACGGAAACAAAGTAGAACGCGTCGTGAGGCCCGAGGACTGCATAGGACCGACTGAAAAGCCTCAGGTATATATGAAGAAAAAAACCCCGTAACGTAGATAGCTGATGAGTGTTTGATTGTTTCCAGGTCATGCTCTTGTTGGATGTACCAACACCGGACCATATACCGGAGTTGATCGCATCATTTACTGAAAACCCGTTTTATGCGCGATTCAGGTCCAAATTGGAGAAAGACTGGGACGACTACGGCGTACACCTGGTCTTTCATCTATGTGGACTCGGCGTGCTTGAGGACGAGAGATACAAAGCGTTCATGAGAGGCTTCGCGGATGGAGCCCACGTATGTCGCTCTCTTATATGCGATGTATGCTTCCTGATATCGTACAGCATCTCGTTTCGTCGCGCGAACATGCCGCAGACCCAGCGACATTCACTAGCGCCGCGTATACCCAGCTTCGACTGAATCAGCTCGATGCAGAAATGTTTCCAGTGCCATATATCAGCGCGAGCCCACGACGGCCTCTCACATGTACGCAGTTCACAGAGCTATCCGTCGACTTGATTCCTGATTTATTTTAAATCAGCAATATCTGGTTTGCCTCCCAAAACAGAGCTCCTCCTTTCTAATCGCCTAATCGAAATGCGTCCTCCTAGTGAACCTCGTCACGACGAGCAGGCACAATCCTACGACCACTTCCACCCTGCAATCGAGCAGATTCCTTCACTCAATCTACCTTCTGCTGTCTTTCAGAGCTTTGCCGCAGCCAAGGCGAGAGTAAGCCGGTCCTCGCGAGCGGGGGCTTCTATGCCGAAACCGGGAGACGATGTCGAGATCACTCCGCTGGGAACCAGCAGCGCGTTACCGAGCAAGTATCGGAACGGTGAGCTCATTTCCGCCGTTGACTCTTCAGTACCATGCTGAGTATTCCTATAACGTTAGTCTCGAGTACTCTTGTGCGAATTCCAAAATGTGGAAGTATTCTGCTCGACAGCGGTGAAGGCACATGGGGACAGCTTGCACGCATGTTCGGCGACGATGTCGACCGACGCTCAACGGGGGTGTGGGAGGTCTTGCGCGATCTCAAGTGTATCTTCCTTAGTCATATGCACGGAGATCACCATATTGGCTTGTCTAAGATCCTGGCCATGCGATCGATGGTAAGTTTTCAAAATCAGAGATCTAGCGAACCTACCTGAGGATCCTAACACCTTCTGAAGATGAATCCCTCTCCCAGTGAACCTTTGTATGTTGTTGGCTTACGAAGTACAATTCTGTACCTACAGGAGCAGTGTGAGCTAGAGGACCTTGGTCTTGGTAACGAGGAGAATGGTGTCGTCCCGATACTGGCTGATGCGCTGAATTGGCGGAGTCCTCGTGGGTACGCTGCAGCGGGCAAAGATGATGAGCCTTTCATGAATGGGGAAACGTACGCCATCTATCAATTGCACGCTTGTACTTGTCTAACATTACGTTAGATCGCGGCGTACTGCTGCAAGCATGTGTCTCGCGTTGGGTCTGGAGAGCTTCACGACAGTAGACGTCGCGCATAAAACTAGATGTTACGGGGCAGTGATCAAACATCGAGATGGCTGGAGCATTGTGTGCGTTTGTTCGTCTCATTTATAATGTCGTTGTAATGTTTCTTCCACCCAGCTACTCGGCAGACACAACACCCACAAATAATCTGGTGCGAGCTGGCCAGAACGCTACGCTGTTGATCCATGAAGCAACCATGGCAGACGACCAGGAAGAGATGGCGCGTGACAAAGCCCATAGTACATGTGGACAAGCCATTACCATCGCCAAAAGGTGTGCTCTCATCTCTTGGACCGATTCTCGTTCTCAGTTCGTACACCAGAATGAACGCGGAGAAACTCCTGCTCACCCACTTCTCCGCACGCTACCCGAAGATGCCTCGCGTTGAACGGAGCCCACCGGGCAGCCCATCGTCGGCCCGCCCACGGGGTCCGCTCCTCGCACTCGCATTCGACCACGCAAGGTTCAAGATCGCAGACATGTGGAAGCTCAATACATATCTCCCCGCGATCGAACGCAACTTTACAGAAACAGCAGCAGAAGAAGGTGATGTAGAGCAGGACGATAACACTGGAGTATCGTGGTAGACGTGTAACGTCCGTTTGCTAATGGGAAGGGCGGTCTAGACGTGCGAAATGGATTGCTATGCTATGTAATCTTTGCTCCCTCGTCGATTCCTTTGAGTGACCTTCGAGCACGTAATGATATAGCCTGCAGACCCCAATCCTGCGTATTCGCATGCCGTCCCATCTGCGTTGTCACTCAATCGGCCAGATCTGCGGTTTTAATAATGAATTGAACGCGTATTATGGACTGATGGACTAATTGCCGCCGGGTGAGCACAACCCTTTGTGAAAGTCCTTTCCCCGGTACTGGTAGATTGAATATCAAGGGGCATGCCGTATTATTCATGAAGCAGCCGGCCACCTACGAAGAATCCTCTATTGTGACTTCACTAGGGCTTGACCCGCCGGCTTGCTTTCATATGTTCAATTCTGCCGATTTTTGTGCGTCAGCACGTCTAGACCTCCCCACGGCAGAATTGCCAACATCTCGGGACATTGAGATCAGCCGTCTGCCACATCGGAGTATTCACGAAGATCGGAATGAATGGCATAATACAATACAGGGTGGACACTATTAGAAGTACAATTGGAGCCCTCTCCGAGTCGCATTAGGATTCAGAACAGGTCAGATTTGCAGATCCGCCACCTCTGCAATCTCGATCCTCTCTTCGTCGCCCTTCCGTTCAATGCTGATCTCCGACGAGCTCGAATCGCGCACGTCCGCTGCTCTCCTCAGCTCCTCGACCGATGTCGCGCGTCTGCCCCCAAGGAACACTCGGCCTCCAGGCGAGTCCTCCAGCGATCTCACGATGATGTCCTTCTCAAACAGGTACTTGATGTCCTCCAACGCATATCCCTTCGTCTCCGGCAGGAAGAAGTACACCCATGCGGACATGACGATGCAGCAGAGGCCAAAGAGGAGGAAAGTCCCGTATGTAATATGGTCAAGCATAACCGGCGTCAGGCGCGATATCGTGAACGAGAACAACCAGTTGACGCAGACGGCGCAGGTCATGACGGCTGGGCGGAGGTGGTTCGGCGAGACCTCGCTGGCGACGACCCACGGTAGAGGGCCCCAACCGATACAGTAAAAAACGGCGTAGAGGTAGACGGCCACGATAGAGACATAGCTTGCTGGAACGATCGTGGTCTGCGGATGGACAGCGCTGAATCCGCCAATCCACAGCATTGCAAATCCCTGTCCCAAGCCGCCGACAAAAAGACACATTTTGCGACCCCAGCTCTCGACGGCGAGCGCGAGGGTCAGTCCCACAGCAATCACTTTGACCAAGCCGTAGATCCCCGTGGCAAATAGGCCGGACGTAGTTCCAGATATTCCGAGCCCCGCAAAGATCTGCGGGCTGAAGTAATTGATCGCGTTCGTGCCTGTCCATTGCTGGAAGAACGTCGCGATGGAGGGGATGAGGCACCGGAGTGCGATCTTACGCGACTCGCCCATCATGCGGAACTGCATGAGCATGGATACACGCTGTTTGCCCACAAAGTCCGCCTTGATCTCGTCCAGCGTGAGGAGGACGGCTTTGTCATCAACAGACGTCCTGACGACGTACGCCAGCGTTTCCGCTGCTTCGGCGTAGCGCCCCCTCTCCACTAACCACCGAGGCGACTCGGGCTGCGGGAGCATCATGAGGACGAAGAGGACGCCTGGAACTAGCTGCACGAGGAAAGGCATCCTCCACTGCATGTCGCCGCTTGGAAGGTTGATAGAAGAACTATAGTTGACCCAGACTGTGGTCCGTATATGAGTGATTCTGGGCAGAATACAGAGATAGCAGGAACACGTACAACTCAACATCATTCCTACATTGTTTGAGAATTGGACGAGGCCCGTGCATCGCCCTCTGATGTGTCTTGGCATGCACTCCGACACATACGACGGTGCCAGAGCGGATACCATGCCCACTCCGAGGCCGGCAAAGAACCGACTGAAGTAGAGCACCCGCAGGGCGACAACTTGATTGCTTCCAAGACCTACAATAGCCTGAAGGAGACTGCCGATGATATAAATGATACCAGATGCAATGAGAGACCATTTCCTCCCAAATCGACTGGATATCCAACTAGTTCCGAGTACGCCAAAGCTGATGATTCGAGACGGCCAAGTGAGCTACGGCACGGCGAACGAACGGGCGAACCTACAAGCACCCCCCTTGCATAATGGACACGATGTTCCCATTGAAGTTAGCTTGGGCAGAGGCAGACATCTTGTTGATCCCAAAGTAATCTTGGAATGACGCGAGAGTCAAAATGCCACCCATCAGCCCAGTGTCCCAGCCGTAAAAAATGGATCCCATGGAGGCGGATAAGGCCAGAATGTAAGCATTGCGGTGTCGCGAAACTTCAGCCAGTGTGCCCTTGATTGTGAAGCCCATGGCGTGAAGCTGCTAGCAGCTGGAGACCGAGGGAAGTTGGCGCGCTTCCGCCGGTATGTTATATAACGCTGACATTCCCATTGTGTCATTGGAGAACCGCCGGCTACTGAAAGACCAGCGGGCTTTGGACGCGAGAGATAGGTGGTCATAAGACTGTCACGGAGTGCCGCAGCTTGGCGGATCCAATACAGGCAAAGCTAGAAGATGAATCGAGGTCACCTGCTCCTCTCTTGTATTCTGCTGACTCGTTTCCAGGATGAGTCGGGACGTCTGGACCCGCGAGAGCAAGCATCTAGTACCTGGATGACCATTGACCACAACCGTGGCACGGCTGACTGCGGGATGAGTGTACCCAGGGACCGAGGTCAAGTGGTGTCAGCGATGTGTCGTTGCGCTAAGCGAAGTGGGCGGCTGTACTCCAGTTGTGGCACAGCAAAAAGCCAATTTGAATATGTTGCTTTGTCTTGATGTCGACAAGGCCCACGCACTGGAAAGGCAAGGATGCATCGTATGAAGCCTGAGCTCTCACAAGAATGGTGGTGTCTGTAGAGTAATTGTGCCGGGAGTCACACCTTGTTAGTTCCCGCAGCGACAGATCCAGTTGTATCAACAAGGCTGCAAGACGAGACTAGTGGCTTTCAAGAAGAGTTCGCTGCCAGTCCTGTTAGCCCTCAGACTTAGTCATATATATCCACGTACATTCCGCTGAATGATGAGATTGCAATAGTTCAGGTTGCATTGACGGACTAGCGCGAAATCGCAATATGAAGGACTTTCATAAGAGACGCTGTGGCGATTCAAAGTTGCTTTCTACGATAACCGCTCGTAAACTTGATTGATGATTGACCAAGACCGGTGATCAGCGACCCCAGATACAGCTCGAGCCCTCCGATCCTACTGTGAATCCACAACCTGAGTGCCTCAATGGGTCAGTTTATCTCTACAGATCTGTGGTACAGGGCCTCGACAAAATCAACTTTTCCCTATCATACAGATTCACGCCCCACATCACTCTCTGCGCCATCCTGATGCAGCAGCGCGCGGCAGTCATTTCGCACTTTCTACCTCTCGTCATGCCACATCGTCACCAACATCTTCTACCCCTCTTCGCTCAAGAAGCCCGCACGGTGATGACACTGACGCTATACCCTGGCGCTGTGTAGTCAAACGTCTCGCCCGTCGCGATCGTGCTATCCACAGGCACTGCAGCATACGGCGTCTCCGGTGTGTTGCTGGTCGTCTCGGAGCCCTGCAGCACCTGCAGCGTCCCTTCGCTCGCGACCGTGGCAAAGGGGAGCTCAAATGTCAGCGCTGCATCGGTGCCTACGGTGTTCGCGATCTATTGCAGAATGAGTTTATTTATGAGGGCAGCGTGCCCGAGCTCCAGCGATGGACGCGTACCTTGATGTATATGTCTCCAGTCGACGAGGCGCGCGAGACGGTCCAGTAGACCGTACCGTTATATGTCGGCAGTGTGCTTGGCAGATACTCGTCGCCGAGGTTCGTGCTGAAAAGCTACTCGGAAAATTCACTTAAGTGGACACATCAAGACGGCTATCGATATTTCGAACCTTCTGAACATAGTAGCTCGTCGATGGGTATACAGTCCCTGCACTAGAGCACATGACATGCGTCAACACAGCCAGAAATGGGGATGAAGCAGCGTGACACAGACTCGAAATTGACTAGATCGGGTGTCTATCGAACGATGAATGAGGTAAGAAAGACATGTCGGGTGGTCTAGCACTCACCCACTGCGAACTGTTCACCAGCTAAAGCAGCCCGACTGTCAAAATGCCACCTTTCGTATACGACAGAGCTACGAACCTGCAATAAGGGCGCATACGATGCCGCAAAAACGATATCACTGTTCCTCTCCAGGCCAGTCATAAATGCTGCCTCGGCGGTCGAGCCTAGTGTTACATTAAACACGTCGGTCTTGAGTGACAGAAATGAAAGTAGCGTTACGTACTCTGCATAGTCGGGTAGAGCAGTCGCCCGTACTCAGATGAGCCATACAGGTCGCTTTCGTTCGTCGACGTTGCAGCGTATTCACCCTAGGAGTCGGGGTTGTTCAGAAGAGCATATTATATGTATTTATGTAGACGAACCTCAAAATAGCGAGTTCCGTTTCGCTGGAGTCGGAGGAATGCGCATCAGTACAAAAGCAAAGATAGATGTCCTTGATCCATACCTCAAAGCTATCGTAGTAAAACGCGTTCTCGACGAACCATTCTACCGCACGTCGTCAGCATCGCAGCTTCATGAACTGTGTTCGACTCTGCCCACCTGGAGTCTGATACACGTGGACGTCGTACTGCAGCGGGGTTGGGTAAATAACCGGATTGAACGGATATGTCGTCGCGATATAATCTGATGATGACCACACCAACCAGAGCTGTAACGAATATGATTAAGACCATCGCACAGGACTCACTCAATTGTGGGAACTCGGCCTTGAGAGCATCGACGAACGTAGGCCACCTGTATGTATACCTGTTCCCAAAGAATGCATTATTTCAGTATGCTGTACGCCAACTTCACGCGACAAAATTCTTACGTGGACGAAGCAAAAAAGTCCTGGACACTGTCGTCAGATCATCGTAAAGCAGATTCGTGACAGAACACACCTCGTTTCCAACCTCGACATAGTTCAACTCAAACGGCTCCGGGTGGCCCATAGCAGCACGGATCGCAGCTGCAACGCCGAGTGACATCAGCCGTGACACCGATGCCGAGTGAAGCATGCACACCTTGTGGGTTCGTAGCAGCGTCACCGATCACGAAGTTTATCTATTCAATTCGTCAGAAGATCGTTGAAGCGCGCATTGAAGTTGTGCGGGCCCAGCGCCTGTGGGGCGAAATGAATGACAGAACGTACCTGATCGATCGCCTGCTGGACGTACGGCTCCAGTTCGCCATCTGGGATGCTCTCCCCATCCAAGGAGTAACCTACGCAATGCACGTTGAGAAAATGTCAAACATATTGCCAGTCAGATCCAGACTGAGAATAGTGCTTTGAGCGGGAAGCGGTTGAAGACCACTTACCAGACCAGACGGCCATGAACGGCTCCATCCCAGCGTCCTCAATGAATATCAAGTATTCATATAACCCCAACCCGCTTCAAGACGTTGATATATGCGCAGACACAGCAAGCAGACACAGACAGACAAACGTAACCAGCGAGAGACGACATAGACGCTCAAAGTGAGAACGGGAACAGGACAGATAGGAAGAAAACACGCACTCAGTGTTCACGTAGCCCCAATCTCCCATCCTTCCGGGTCGGTCGAGCAGAGGCCCCACAGTCGCGTTCCACTGCCAACGAGTCGCGAACGTTTGCCCCTATATATGCGCATATATGGACCCAATACGTCCACGTCGCGATACGATGGGCAGCAAAAGATCAGAAAGGCACAAGCGTTAGATTGTACATCGATCGGTCAACGCTTGAAGACTCGCCTCCTGATAATGGCGGACATCATCGAGTCAGGTCACAAAATGGAGAGGGAACAGCACGCACTAGGTTGTTTCCTCCTGGAAATCTGAAGAAGGCGGGCTTCATATCTGCTAGGGTCTATATATAGACCAATTTGTTTGCACAAGCTTATTGCTTCGTAGATCAGTACATACCTCTGCGATGTCAGCACGCATCCCATTAGCCTGTCCCTTCCACGTCGGGGGAAACAGCGAGAGCAAAGCAAAATGCACTGTTTCCCCCGCCGCCTGTTCCCCATCGAACGTTACAAAGAAAGTGTTGTTATTGTTCGCCGGGGTGGCTGAAGGGGTAAGCGTCAAAGCAATCTGCGCCCAGTCGGAAGACGGAGAAATAGTTATGCTGTTGGAAGCGAGCACCGAGTTGGCGGAAGAAAGTAAGCCAAGGGTGAGAGTCAGCGCGGAGGAAGAGACAGAAGGGAATCGGTAGTAGAGCGAGGCATCGTATGTCCATGAGGGGTCTACCTTGATACCTGCAGGGAGAAGAGGGGTAAGCGTATCGATGTTTGAATGGAGGACTGACGTTACAATGATGAATCGACGAGGATGCTCACCCCAATACCCCGGATTCGCGAATCCCACGGTGCCGCTGGCGTCTCCTGGTATTACAACCTGCAACGAGTTCGGGAGGGCGCTTGACACGGGTACAGTGTCTGCGATAACAGTAAGCTGTGCATCGCCGATTGCCGTCCAGGGCTCAAGAGCCTCAGTTGTGTCTGCCACGGGATTGAATTCAACAGACTGAACTGAGTCATACAGACGACATAAGGAAACACACTGGGCGTGACTTGCTGAAACGCTCTGTTTTGGATGACTGTAGGCAGGAGCGGGAAAATCTGAGCGTTATGGCCAACCTGAGTGAAGAAAGGACGCACGCTCGGCATACAAACCGCCATCTCCGCTCTAGGAGAAAGGGTGAGGATATGACCATAGATTACTTTTCTCGTCGCTCACGTGCTGCACATGAAGAGCATAGTAAGTGGTTATCGGAGAACATACGATTACTTGGTACGTACGTTGATATCCTGTTGCGGAGACGACATGTAGGTAGGATGAGCGACTCTCCTAGCATAGTGCGAAGAACTACGCGATGCGTACCTCGAACATCTGACCATCTACGGATGCCTGTAAGTGAAGGAGAGTGCGTATTTTCGTTCAAGCAGCACTCACACAGCGTCGTAGGTATCGCATGGCTCGCCGACGCACTAATGCTGACAGTCGTCACGGCCTCGGCTCCTGGTACGCGCCAGAGGCTTCCAGCGACTAGAACCGCACAGATCGAGACACGGCGGAGCAAAAGCATCGCGGCGTTGTTCTTCTGTCCAGAGGCGCAAGAAACCCTCTGCATGAGCTTATATATCGCGCTGGCGATGGGAAACAACGGAGGACTGGCGAGAGAAGCGCAGCTCACGGGGGCGGCCCAGCCATGGGTAGGCCGTCCATCGTACACAGGAGAAACGTTCTACGCCGGAAATTGCTGACTCGTTGAATTCAGATATAAAATCAGGCCCGCAGGAGAGCAGTCGCGTGATGGATAAATGGTGGAGAAACACTGTCCACGGTGAGGGCCCGGCCCGCGAGAGTGTATGAGTGTGCAAGGCTCGTGATTGAGTTGTATACTTAGAACAGAATCTAAGAGGCGAATTGGAAGCGTGGAGTGTATACACTGTGTTCCAGCGGCGCGTAAGAGCAAGCCAGTAATCTGAATCTGACCTGCCAGTGTGTGACCAGTCAGAGCGAGACTGGAGAGGAATGCTGGCGGCGCCAAATGCACCGCGCGATCACCGATCGTTGCTTCACGTGCACTGTGTAGCACCTGCCAGGCCAGGGCCGCCTACGTTTTGCTTCCGTTCACGATGAACACAGGCGTACGCTCCGCAAGTACGGATCCACAGCCCGGACACTCCAAGTACCAGAGGTCAAGAACATCCGAACAACTCCTACTCTCAAAGAAAGATAGAGACTGCCACCCTAGCGTGGTGTCGATGGCCGTGAAAACGACTCGGACCATGTTCACCATGAGCACAAATATATGCTACTGGCTACTGTCTCGTAATTTATAAGGAGTTTACGATTGGTCTCACGTCTGGGTGCATTCTATCTTTACTATCTAAGTCCCCTAAGTCCATTGACGTGCGAAGTTCTGTCGCTCTATATATGATTCATGTTGTCCAATTTGCTGCCATGCGGACCTTGCCACGTACGTCTGTCTCGTTTCTCATGAGGATTATAACGAAAACTAAATCGAATATGCGCCACTTTCGATGTGTTGGTAGGAACGATGACCGAGGGGTAGTTTCCTCGATTCCATGAGACTGAGGCGGCGCAAATAGCACATGCGCGAGTCCCCGGGCCGCTACATTGAATTCCTAAAGCGAATGACAGTAACACATCCCGTCAACCAGGGTAAATTTATCGTGCATCAATCACTCGGATGCATGGGAGCTCTTTGTATCTTGAATACTTCTGATCATCTTCAAAGGCTCCGAGTCGAGAGAATGTACCACTAGATATATTGCAAGGTATCTTTTATCGCCGCAAAGCGTTGTCTTGATCGTGTATTTATGAAGCACTTCAGAATTTATTGCGTTCGGTCACCGATCAGGTCACCGATACTCGGTAGCGGCCCGTCTTCCTTATTTGAATATCGACATACCTGGAGACAAGATGTTTATTTGACTGGTTCAGGTCGTAGCTAAGATCCGAAGACTTTCTGATTCATGCTGCGCTCATTTTGGTGCTGTAGAGCCATGATGGCTAACCTATGCCATAATGAATGCCTCTAACGGTTGTATTGTGCATGTAGCCGCTACATGAGTCTCTTCGAGGTTTGTAATTTTCAGATCTGCTTTCTCGGTCTCCCGTGACGTGCATGAAGAGACTGCGCATGGAATCCTAAATGCTTAATTCTTAACACAGCCTTTGCCGAACTTGGGATGAATTTGTACGGGGACAAACTTTTGTAGCTGTGACGATTCTGTCTCGTCCGATTTCTAACGACGCCCTCTGTGGTCGCCAATGAGTCTTCCGACGCCTCGGTCACTGCACCGGCGCCTTGACCTCGGATGGTTGCCTTAGAGCACACGAACAATTTCGGCTTCAGTGTTCGTCATCGTGTTGCCTTGAGCATTCAATTCGGGTGTACCATTATGTCTCGACAGTCGACACAACGACTTGCAGATGACTTATAGACTAAATTTCGGTCACACAGAGTCTCATGTCTAGACTGCAAATATCTAGGACCAGACGCGCATTTACGACATCCCATAGGTTGCTGTACTAGAACGAGTCTTTATTCTTCAACTAGATTGCGCAAGCTCTAGATGATCTGGTGCCAATTTTACATTCCTCGTGAGTATCGAAGTGTAAGTATTTGGTTTTTGAAATACCTTCAACATTATTTGACCTACAAACATCTGAGTGTTCAGGCCCGCTCTCCGGTCGTTGACTAAAGGGGAAGCCGCGTAGCCCAATGTGGCTAGACGCATCTGCCTCAGGCTGACGGCAACCGCCGAGCGTGTCAAGCGGTCCTGACTTCTAATCTCGCGTAGGCGTCCTTGTTGACATTTTGAACAACGGTCCTGTCTCACCCGCCACGCGCATCGCCATGCCTCATGTACGTCTATGACAACCTACCACTGGCAATTCCCTGTCTTTGAGGGCTATTAATCCCAAGCCTAATACAAGACGGCGTGCGAACAACGCCAGACATTTGTTGTCCGCAATGGCTCATATCCGCGACTACAGTCTGCCTAGCATCTAATTTCCGTTTTCCTGCACGAGTTAGTCATTCACGTCAATCTGTGTGTCGTGACCGCTAGAATACTGAAGATGCGCCCGCACGGTAGGCGAAATCAAAATTCCGCTCTCCTGGGAATCTATCCGTGAGTTCGTTTCCGTGAGCTTAGTGTCTCTCCGTGCCATGTATATGAGAGCTATGAGTCATTTTGTGAAGTCCAGTGCGCCTCATGTCCTACATTGACGTAGCATCTACAATGACTGCATGGTTTTGTTGTCCACGGGCCGAATAGCTGCTAGCCCCTCAGGCGGCTGGCAGCAGACGAACCCTAAGAATGGAGTTACTGATTCAGATCTTCTGATAGTCTGCTGGCTGCGATATCAGACTAGAATCGTGCACGGTCACCTGCCAGAAGTCGTTGACTCTTCAATGGCTCCGAACACGTCGTGGGAGAGCAGCTAGGCAAAGTCAAATCCAGCTCCGCTAGTAAAATGACTTCACAAGGCTTCATTCTCTCGCTCGCCCACTCGTGGTGAATTTCCGCGCAAACAGCATCTCGTCTCCCGATCTTAAGTTCGCGCCTGTGTCGTGCTATCGAGACATCTTGTCAGCTTTATGGAGGATTACACTGTCTTCTTGCTGGGGCCGAGATCATTGCTGTTCCTGCGTCGCAGACGATATAAGTTGGGCGTCCATCTATCCCTCGCATCATCCCCTTCCGCCCTACCTTCATCATGATGTTCTCCAACAGTCCTGAGTATCGCGCTAGGTATGGTCATACCCGTCTCCCGCAATCGATGTTCATCATGGACTTTGATTTCAGGCTAGGGAAGCCATTCGTCCCTCCACCTATCACTCTGAAGCAAATACATGACGCCGTCCCGAAACATCTCCTACGCAAAGACCCATGGCGATCCACATACTTCTGTATCCGGGACGTCTCCTTTTGCGGACTTTTTTTCTACTTTGGGCTGTCGATCGAGCGTATTCTGCGTAGCGAGTTTGGGGGGTACCTTCCTTTAACAGCTGCCTGGCAGGTGAAATTGGGCAGAGCGCTGCTGTGGATGGCGTATTGGTGGTGGCAAGGCCTTTCGTTTGCAAGCTTTTTTTGTCTTGGTGAGTGTATTCTCGATCACACTACCAAATGAGTGCTGAGATCGTTCTCCGCAAGCTCATGAGGTGAGGGATTTTCATTTCATGTCCGTGCCTGCGACTACTCACGTGCGTAGTTTGGTCACCAAACGCTGTATCACAACAAATATGTCAACGATATACTGGGATACTTCTTCCACGCCGTATGTATCGATATCGGCCGCATTATGCTCTTTGTGCTCATTCGTGTCACAGGCAATCCTTGCCCCGTTCTTTGCTTGGAAGGCAAGTCATAATGCACACCATGTTAGTGATCTCGTGAAATGTTGACCTGCCCCGACTAATAGAATGTTTTCAGCGCACGGTCGCGTCCATCGAACGAGATGAGAATTATGTGCCGTACGAAAGGAGCTACTATCAGCTGCCGCCGAAGGAGCGTGCGACCACAGCAGACTACCTCGAGGTTCTGGACGAGACTCCCATCTTAACGATGGGACGGCTGCTGATAATGCAATGCGTGTGAGTACCTTCGGTTATTAACCAACAATCATGTCTGTTAAAATTAACTTCTAGTGGCTGGTGGCTGTATATGACGTATGCCTCTGCTCCTTGTCAGTCCCGTTCTTCGAATGCTAACACAAACATCCGATCAGGACCAACGCTATGGGTTCTAGGAGATACCCTAAAGGCACAAACCATTTCTCCCCTTACTCGTCTCTCTTCCGCCCTGAGGAGCGTACGTGTGAACCACTCCTCACGCCCTCAAACTGGTCCCGCTGACTGTCTTGGGAACTCAGGGCTGGGCATTGTGTTATCCGACATTGGTCTGATCGGAATGGGCTCGATTCTGTACTACGCATCCAAGCTTTACGGCGGAAAGGCGGTTCTCATGTACTACTTCATCCCATATGTGGTACGCGGCGTGTTTTTCTGGGCTCGGTCTGTCCTCACTAATTCCGTGTTTCTTCACTTCTCTCCGACAGCTATGTAACCATTGGTGAGTCAATTTCCATTTGCCCTGCGTCGTGTCCTGATTGATTCTCCCGCGTTGCACTAACCTCTCAGGATTGGTGCGTAGGCGCCCGGAAAGCATGTGCAGCTAGAGATTGACCACGGGACTGTGTTTCAGTTATGCTCACGTATCTGCACCATTCGGACCCAACCATCCCACATTACCGTAAGGAGCAGTGGTCCTGGGTGCGCGGAGCGGCGGCGACAGTCGACCGGCCTTTGCTCGGCTGGATGGGGCGGTTTTTCCTGCATAATGTGCGCCTTTCACTTCTTTCGCTTCTTTCCCTGACCCTACGCTGATTCCTCGGGGTGCCGTGTACAGGTATCGCACGACCATGTAGCGCACCATTTCTTCTCATATGCGCCGTTCTGTGCGTTTTTCTCGCCTAGATGTTTTCGCCGCTCACTCTTGGGGCAGATAATCAGCCGGAGATTACGAAGTGTATCCGGGGGGTCTTGAAAGACCATTACAACTACGACTCAACGGTGCGTGTTCATTTAGGACACCTAATGAGGTCTAATTTTGGCAAATGCGGGTGTTCAGAATTCGTTCTACGCCCTCTACCGCTCTTTCACGCAGTGTATGTTCATTGAGGAAGAGGGTGCGATTGTGTTTTACAAGAACAAACATGGACAGGCAGCCCGGGAAGTGGCGGAAGACCAGTTGAAAATCATTGACGAGCGGTGGAAAGCAGAGGATGGAAGACTGCAGTGCTGCCATGAATCAGTGAGCGGCTTCTAGCAGACGCTAGGACCGACCGTGTGGATTGTATCTGTAACTGATTTAGAGGATTGGGCCATTATGTATCTTCAGACCCTACGACTGTATGTTAATTTTTCTCGAACGTGAGCAAGAGTGATCTTGAAGAGACAAGGAAAAATGAATGCCAGGACCACCCTCGGCAATTACCGCGAGGTCCCACGATGCGATTCACGTGCTGCTGTTTACTCCTTTGCGTGTGCTCAGTTTCTGAGGCCTCCCAACCTGTCCACCTCGTCCACTAATTGCCTTGTCTTTCTCTGTGTCTGAGCACCCCTCATGGCGACAGGGCAGATCGATTTTTCTCTCTCTCAGCTGTCGCTGCACTCTTCTGGCTCCACCAGCGAGGCGGAGGACTGGGACCGCTCAATGAATCTGCAGTCCGAGCCGGAGCTTCAATCACAGACGCCACGAAATTCGGTAGCTTTCCCTGGAGGGATAGGAGGAGCAGAGAGTGAACACACAGCAGGACATGGCCGGAGTGTGAGAGGAAACTCGAAGAGAACGTTAAGCGAGCTACTCAAGCTACATGCAGAGAAGGGGAGGGACGTAACGTTCAGTGCTGAAGAAGCTGGTCGAATAGCAGAGGTACTCGGCCGATGGGTGCGCATCCTTCGTTACTATTTTTCTCGAGCACATTCATTGATGTGTTCGTTGTGGTCGAGCACAGATTAATTCAGGCTCCTCACCATATGAGACCGACGACGACTTCTTCTCGCGCTCTCAGGATGACTCAGTGTTGTCTTCCAGACGATCTCCTGCAATTGACTCTCCAGGTCGACCACGAGGCCAAAGCGAGAGTGTTGTGAACACCGCCTCATAACGTTGCGGCTGGATACTTATTGCATAGAGTCAACTGGCGCTCCTAGTCTATATGTGGCCCCAGTGAGCGGCGAGCAGCGTCACTGCCTGGTTCGGTAGGTTTGTCACTATTTCACTCTTGTCTGATTCTGACTGATATGTAACAGACCTTAGAAGCCTACATATCATTAACTGCGTTATATCCAACATTATACCTCACGACCTCTCACGACCCGTCATGACCTGTTACGCCCTTCTACTTGCCATTTTGCATATTTATCTCTTTCCACTTTGTCTCGCGCTACGTGTCTCCATCTACGATTTACTTACGCTCGTCCTACGCTCTCGGATGATTCTAATACTCATCACGCTGTCTATATTCGTCTATTCTGACTATACAAATTTCAAAATCAAATAACCCAACATCTGTCGGCACCGAGTGCGTTCATGCGTGGCCATCTAACAGGTATTTGTGTCCTCCAAGGCCTTCCTCTGAACTAGCTTCAGCATCTCAAATCTGTGTCATTAATTTTGAAGTTGAAAACTGGCATTATTTGGCTCTGTTAAGATCCAAAGCTCTTGACATACAAGTGCAAATAAATGATCTCACTTCGGTAAACTGGGTCATTGATTCATATAGACCAGGTTAACAGCTAGACCATCCTTCTCGCTCTCAAGTTGGAAATTTCTTCATTGGTAGATCTATAATTTAGAGATGTCTTTCTCTAACTTGCGTTCTGCACGTCTGTCAAAAGAATCAAGGTCGTACGTCAAATCGCCCACCAATTCCGATCAGACGGCGGAAAATGACATCACGAGCACACTAACAACAAAAGACCCTCAAATGTCGGTCAATATAGTTCCACTCCATGACATGCACAAATCGCTTCCGCCCTCGCTAGAAGTCAGACAGACTTCCGACCGAGGCAAAAGTGTATATTCTAAGCAGACGTGTAAGGCAGGTGAGGATATCTACTTTTGCTTTTGCACCGTCTCACATCTCATTAGGCACTGTCCTTATCACCGTCAAGCCTCATGTCAGCGTTCTATCTGCCGCGTCTATGGAATCGTACTGTTCCTATTGCTGCGGACCAGCAAGGACAAGTTTAAAACGATGCACTCGGTGTCGTACAGTATACTATTGCGATTCTGTGTGTTCCCCCCAAGTTCCTGTTGGTGCGGTCTCTGTACCTGACTTCCTTTTGCCCTAGACATGCCAAAATAATGACTGGCGAGTTCACAAGGACGAATGTTCCGCATTGCAGAAATGGGCTGCAGCAGCTCCATCTCCGGAGTTGTCAGTTCCTAGTGATGCCGTGAGATGTTTAGGCAGACTCTTGTGGACAATGAAGAGGACGGGTCAGAGTAGTATTTGGGTATGTCTACCGTTTATCTCACATATACTGGTGGTGACTGGCCTCCGTAGTCGAGAGAGATCAATATGATGCAATCACGTAGGATAGGGTCTGCTCAAGCATCATGGTATAATTTTCTCATTTTGATTCAGACAGGTCTTCCTTGCCATCGTCTGCGATTGGAACACATACGTATCTTGCTCATTCTCTTTGCCGGTATCTTTCCGTCTCGTCTCCCATGGAGTTGGAACCATTTTGTGTCAAATCTCCTGGAGACCTCGTCGATCTCATCTCTCGTGTATGTTGCGATGCAAGTCATGGGTGTTTCTTGACAAAGCTCACTCTGTTCGATGCAGTTCACGACGAATGCTTTCACGCTAACCTCTTCTTCCCTAAGCGCCATTGGAGTAGCGATATCTCCAACGGTGGCTCTCGTGAACCATTCCTGCGACCCGAACGTTGTTATTGTCTTTCCTCGAAATCCGAGTACTTCTCATGCAGAGGAGCCCATGATGACGGTGGTCGCTATCAAGCCTATCTTGCCGGGTGAAGAAGTATGAACTGCCTGTATTCTCTCGTCTTGAACCTGATTATTTTTCGTACTAGATATTGAGCGCATACGTGGACGTCACCCAACCCCGAGAACTTCGACAGAAGGAGCTGAAGGAGACCTACAATTTCACGTGTATGTGTCCTTTGTGCTCAACAACAGCTTCACACGATCCACGAGAAAGCTTATGGTGCCCTAAGTCCTGCGGCGGAACGTGTCCACTCCCTACGGAGGGTACGGCTGTCATTCTTCATCTGTATTCCAATATGATTCAGTAGGTATTTGCAGAGAATCGTGTCAGCGGTTGCACAAAATGCACGGCATCAGTAGCGGATATTGATGTTGTTTTGGACGCTGTTCATGTAGGTCAACAGGCACTTGACAAAGCCACTGTGCTACAATATGAAGGTACCAGGCTGGTTGTGATAAATATTAGAAACTATTCACATTATTATCTAGATCCCGTCAAGGCGCAGCGGCTCACTACAAACATTATTCCCCTACTAGACTCCGCTCGTCTCACTCCGTCCTGTCATCCGTTTCTCGCCTTGAGCCGGTTGCATAAAGAGCTTCGAATCGCTTATCTGGGCACTTCCTTGACCCAAGAAAATTTAGACGAGACTATCCGCGCCACAGCCAAATACAGCTCGGGACTAATCGGTGTCCTGGCACCTGGACATCCGGTGCGCGGGACAGCTCTTGCCGAACTAGGGAAGCTGCTGGCCGTAGACGAAATCTCGCCGCTGTCGGATACGACGCTTCGCGGAGACCAGTTCCCGCCGTCAGGTCCGGCACGTCTCAAACTCGCCCACGAGACGCTGGTACGTGCGCTCAGTGAGTTAGTGGTTGGGTTTGGAACGGACACGGGTGGAGGCGAGGTGGGCCGAGACGTTCGGGAGACCGTCGTCAAGTTGGAAAAGGAACTAGAAGTTTGGACCCATGGCGTGAAGAATGTTCTTGAAGACGGCAGCTTTAGGATGTCTATTGGAGCGTAATGATAGTAAGTTCCCATATGGAATATCTTGGAGTGTTGTGAGTACCCTTGGGGCATTTGCTGTAGTCGCTGTTCATTCGTATATTCCCCTGTTATTTCCGACGGGTTCATCACGGTTTAGACTGGCGAGTCCGTGTGATCGGATTACTGCCCCGATCGAAGGTGCGGACCGATCATGATGATGACTGCTTTAAGTTTGTTTTGAGAACGATGTAGATCTTATACTTTCTAGGTCAAGGTCAATATGGCTACGAGGTCATGTCAACTGCTGCGGGGGAGAGGATGAACATGAGTCATGTCAGAAAGCCTAAGGCTAAAGACAGAAACGATATGTCGCATGGGCCTTGCGAAGCGGCTCCATGGGTTCTCGGATACATAAACGGTTCGTCATGCTTCGGAGGCGGCCTAGTCAACAGCGGAAATGCACATTGCCCACAGCACAGCTCTGTCATAAATCCACATATCCGCATCCGACGGATCGTATACGAATCGGGTACGAGTGATTCCATGCGCCTCGAACGTATAAGAGGGGGAACACTTGTTTCTCGGCCTTGATTCACAAACCCATTCGTGATAGCCAGAAGTCACTCTCACTTGCACATCGCACTCATTCTTTGGACAACATGTCTGGTCGAATCGTTCTCCCCGACTTGTCCTCCAAGCTCATCGACGATGATCGCATCCAACTGCTCGAACCGCTAGGCGCAGGCGCTTACGGTGCTGTATATTCTGGCCTTAACTGTTTGGAAGACGCGACTTCGCCGTCCTACTTCGCCGTCAAGATCATGCCGCGGGAGGACAAGACTTCTCATGGCGGTGCTCTCCAATCCCGAGAGATCAATTATCACGGCTACGTATCCGGCCACCCAAACATCTTGAAGCTGTATCGAGTTGCGCACGACTCCGAGTACACGTACATCATCATGGACTATTGCCCTGGCGGCGACATGTACCGCATCGTGTCATTGAAACACACGTTTGCTCGAAATGATGTCTTGATAAAGAGTCTTTTCCTCCAGCTGGTCGACGCCGTGGACGCTTGCCACCAGAATGGCATTTTTCACCGCGATCTCAAGCCTGAGAACGTTCTTGTCAGCGATGATAGCACTCGCCTCTTCCTCGCCGATTTTGGGCTTGCGACGAAGTCGGAGCGCAGTACGAGCTTTGGAGTTGGTAGTTCAACCTACATGAGCCCAGGTATGAATATTTCTATATTGCATCTATTTTGCTGACGAAATTATCCTATTAGAGTGTATCAATTATTATGGAGACAATCCATTCTACGAGCCTCGTATAAACGACATATGGGCGTTAGGCGTGATTCTGATCAATATGATCACCGGCCGATCTCCCTGGAAGCAAGCGATGCCAAGCGACGAGTGCTTCTATAGATTCATGCAAGACTCATCTGTTCTCCGCCGGATGTTGCCCCTCTCGCAGGCCGTGGACGACGTTCTCCAACGCATCTTCCTCCCCCTTCCCGAGGACCGCATCGATCTGTTCACGCTACGTCAGCTTATCCTCGAGGTGGACACATTCTACATGAGCGAAGAAGAACTCATCATTGCCACGCCACCCGCGAGACACGCTTGGGAAACATACCAATCCTACAGCACAGACTTGGATCCCTTCGCTTGTGATTCGACCAGCTCCATCATGCAAACAGCATCTGAGGGCCTTTCCAGCTCTAGCTCGGAGGAAGCTGCGCCCGACGAGTCTCAGCATGAGATGTGCTCCGACCCATTGTGCAGATTGGAACAGAAGTACGTCAGTGCCCGGGTGTTCAAGCGCGTCTTAGAGGCGTCGGACTTTCGAGGAATCTTCACTCTGGGCTCTGCCGAAGAAGATTCGTTTTCGGACTCCAATCGCAGCCAATCCCCGGCGGATGAGCTTTACCCACATGTTCCCTCAATGCCTTCATCATCCTCGTTCTACAGCGTGGAATCGAGTTCAGCGGAAGAAAGCGATGGTCCACGGACACCAGAGACACACGCCCAGAATCCTGCGATCGCGGTCCCGGACCTCAATGAGAGCATGGGGATAGAGAGGGTTCCAAAGCGGGTAGAATCAGTCGCTGCAAAGCCAAATTCACGCACGAGATGGTTGAAGAGACGTTTGGGGATTATCCAGAGTACAACGGTCTGGTAAAGAGATGAGAGCTGAACTATACCAGGATACCCTGCTGCGCACCGTATTCAACTTTGTATTCATAGACCATCAGTCGTAAATCTACACTTCACATCTTGCATTCCGTGACGTACATCAAGGACATGTGGCATGTGGTCTGACAGTGAGCCATACTATCAGGTGAGCCAGTTCAAATCGAAATGGGCTAGACTAGCGTAACCATTCCGATTTACGGCGGATCGGAGTGTTTGTATCTTGACCAGAGGTCTCCGCGCCCTGACCGGCCCTGGAGTCGCGCCCTTTGTCCTCCAGCGGATGAGAGCGTCGGGTACGGATGTTCGGATATGCGTTCCTCACCGTGCCGCCCGACACCGAGGGCTCTCTCTCTCTCTTGGCACTGCTCGAAAATGCATAAAAGGGCACCTGGACGCACCAAACGTCCACAGCATTCACCTTCTTACCATCCAGTATCCTTTTATTTTTGCACACATCCTCATTTCTATTTCTATTTCACCATGGCGTCTATGGCTTCTCGTATCCCGGACCTCCGTGGTATGGCCATTGACGATGGTCGTTACAAGCTCACGCAGCTCCTCGGCGCTGGCGCCAGTGGAGCTGTGTATCGCGCGACTGACTTTCTAGCCGAGACAGCGGACGCTGCCCAGCGGGCGATCAAGGTCCTCCCGAAGACGAATGCTTCGAAGGACGTCATTATTCGCCAGCACCGGGAGGCGTTCCTCCACCAGCGCGTTTCGGACCATCCGAACGTTCTCTCTCTTCACGATGCATTTGAGGACGAGGACTTCATCTTCCTTGTGATGGACTATTGCCCTGGTGGCGATCTGTTCCACTTCATCTGCGAGGAGAACGCGTATTTCCTAAACGACGAGCTGGTGCGGTCGGTCTTCGTGCAAATTCTGGACGCAGTGCACGCGTGCCACGCCCAGGGGGTGTACCACCGTGATCTGAAGCCAGAAAACATTCTCTGCAGTGCGGACGGTAGCGAGATATACATTGCCGATTTCGGTCTGGCTACCGATGCGGAAGAGAGCTACACGTTCGGCTGTGGAAGCCTGCAGTACATGAGTCCGGGTGAGTTTTCGGAGTTGCTCGTATGTCCGAATGATCACTCACCTCTGTCCCAACGCAGAGTGCAACGGCCAGGACTATGACTGCAATATACCTTATGTACCCAAGGACTGCGACATTTGGGCTTTGGGCATCATCCTGGTCAACATGCTCATCAACTGTCAGCCTTGGGAGAGTCCTACGCAGAGCGACCAATACTTTGCGGATTTCTTACTCCACCGCGACGACTACTTCGACCGCATGCCGTTCCTCTCCAAGACGGCTTCCGCGCTGCTGAGCTGCATGTTCGAGCTGAACCCAAAATATCGTATGAACATCCCTGAGCTGCGCAAAACCATCCTGGGCATCGAAACATTCTTCGCTGTCGATGATCAGTTGCCTACGGCCAATGCGATGCTTCAGCGGCTGGACGGTGTCCTCGACTCGCTCCTACATGAGGACGACGAGGAATGCTACGGGAGCTTGCCGGAGGATATGGCGGAGGAAGTGTTGGAGGAGGAAGTCACGGTCGAGGAAGTCATAGTCCACGAGGCCGTCGTGATCGAGGAGATCGTCACAGTCGAGGAGGTGGATTTGAGCCAACTGCACCCCGACAATTACTATAAGATGCAGGAGATGGGCAGCTCGGTGTCTGCGTTCGTGGCCGCTTACGGCGACGACTGCGAATCGGCAACCACTTCCACCACATGCAGCGATAGCTCAGGACCACCCACACCCGGCACCTACGCGCACGATCCGCAGATCGAAATCCCCGACATCATGGAGGGAGAAGGGCTGGGACAAATCCGAGTACGCTTGCCATCACCCGCCCGCCCCTCCAAAAAGTTGGAAGAGCGTCCATCCCCGGCTCTAAATATTCTCGAGCATCTGGGGATGGCTGCTCCCGTATAAAACCAAGCCGATGTTTGCGAAACCTACGCGTAACACCTGTGATACACTGCATACGCACACAGTGGGGAATCGTGAAGTGAGTGGGGAAAGGGGAGAGGGGGAAAGAGACAACAAACATTTAAAAAGAATACGGATTTTTTTTCCCGACTCGATGGGCTGGCCCCTCGTCCTTGACTAGCCTTTTTACAACCAGCGGACAATCAGTATCGGACAATGTGACATGGACACTTTACGATACTGAGCTGGATATTATTTTCGGACTTATGGGCATGGACCCTTTACTGTAGACTGGACTTTTGCTGTCAGCGGACAAACAGTATCGGATGTGAAATGGACACTATACGATACTGTGCTGGACAATAGAACGGGCGTTGACATAGCTTTTTTTGCTTCGCAAACTGGGTGTGCAGGTGTGCGATCCCGAAGCCTCAAACGTCTCGTGGACCTTACCACTAGGAGGGACCCGTAAAATACAAGTGCTGGACTCTGAGGTTTTTGTAAGACATGCCCTCTTGGCAGCACTGCAGCGTGGTCCTCAGCCACTGATCAGGAGCTACAGGAGAGAAAATGAGGAGTGCAGGGGCTTAAAAAATGGCTCAAAGGCTTACGAAAATGTCTAGGCCTTTTGCTCTACTCATTTCGAGCGCTAGCATTTATCACATGAGGGTGGGATGGTAGACAAGTTTCGCAGACACATCTTCTCCCTCTCGCGATCCCTAGTGCGAGTTTCAAATACTTTGAGTCGCGCGGGCACATCGAACGCGATCAGACCAATCGTCTGAAAAAATATCTCCAAAGCGTGCAAACCTGTGGTGATAAGTCCATGTTGCGAGCGAATCATTTATGCATGATACAAAATGCGACGTCAACATATTACCGAGATACTGTTCTGTAAGCGATGAGGTACGTAACCAGTCCGGGGAACGAGAGGAAGTGGTAGGAAATGTACCGAAGTATAGCGTAGCGTCATGAAGCCATTGTCCGACCAAAACCCAAACTCAAGAGAACATGCAACACACCGTCCATAATCGAGCGTCTACGTCGTATCTATATGCGAGCCGTGTCAGTGCCGGGCCTGCCGCAGAACCGAGTATCCGGAGAGGAACATAATGACAAAAGTCGCGACGAGACTGACGAATGCGGGGTGAGCGACATAGGTCGACCACGCGCCGCTGACATTGCATCCTGCACATGTCCAGCCTGCGATGGAGGCGGATGTAAGTAAGCAGAAAAGACACAGAGAGACGAAGAAACACACTTGAGAGCGGAGTATAAGGTTGCGGAGAGTATAGCGCAAACTGAAGATCGCTGTTCTCCGCGAGCATCCCCGGTTGCTCTGCTGCACCCTTTGAGCCGGTCCATATCTCCAGGGTATATGTCGCGACGTCGAGCGGCGTGCTGGGATTCGCCTGCTGGTACGACCACAGATCCCACTCCACGCTGGTCGCAGTCCCGGCGAGGGTACCGTTGCCAACGGGGTATGTGTTGCCATTGTCGCAGACGGCGGAGATGGTGAGAGCCGTGGGGGTAACGAGAACGTTGGTGAAGTTCCAGCCAAATGTGATGGTGTTAGAAGGGGCGATCTTGTAATAGGACGTCGCTGTCTGAGGGGGCTGGGTGATGGTGAGACCGCCGACCGGGGCAGTAGCAGGAATGTCAATGGGCGTAGAGGACGACGCCGATGCAGACTGGGATGTCGACGACGAATTGTTGTTGTTATTGTTGTTGTTATTGTTATTGTTAGACATCGCTGCTGTCCCTGCTGAGTGGGGTCGGACGGAAAGGAGTAGGTAGTGGGACGGTCGGAGGCTCTGGCGGTGAGACGGAAGACACGAACGGCGTGGGCAACAGCAACGCCCCCAAGTCACACAAGGAAGGCGTGACATCGCCGCCAGTGTGACGTTACCGTTGTGACCCTGGCTCGACATTTAGAGTTCCAGTCTTGCTCTTGCTCATTTGCTATACGAAAATTTATTCTCGTTTGAATCTTTCCCGCGCAGTCCTTTTGGTGGATCCCAGCTTTGGAATGTCGCCGAATGAGTCTCGTCGGTAATAGTGCCACTTAGGGGGAGAAGACTGGGAGAAGACGGAAGAATCGTGGTATCATGTACGCTCTGTCATCAGCTTAGAGGTAAGTGCATTGAATTTTCATCCTGGTGTCGATTCTGAATTGGATGGCTTCAATCTATATCAGGGCTACAGTTGTACACAAGAAAACACTTCTATGTCATGGTGCAACCCTATGCTATCTCGGAAGATTTTTTGGCTTCAATAGTGTGAGTTATCCCTGCCGATGTGCCGTGCAGCTGTGCTCACCGTGTTGCACTTATTCATAGCCTGCTATTCTTGGTCCCATCCGTGCATTTCCCGAGGTGACCAATATACAACGTACAAGCTTAGTGGCTACTACTGGCTTGAGTACTATTTCCCGCTCTGAGCGCGGCAATCATGGCACAATTTTCGCAGTGGCGGGCTCTTTGGCGAATAGATTGTGGATGTGGTTTTTAGCATCGCATCACTTCTCTGACTGCCCCCACGCTGGGCGTCTCCAGAATAAATGCCACAGCCTATCGATTCTGAGCGACCCATGGCTATGTTTGTCGGCATTGCAGAGTCCCTTGAGTGGTTGTGGTGTAGGACGCCTAGCCGTTACCACCCAGCGTTCACACAAAGTTTGGGGCAAACCTTTGATGACTTTTCGAGCAAGAATTCGTCTAGATACTGTATTGAAGTACTCGAAAGCAACACTTCGGAATTTAGACCAATATCAATCAAGTGAGTAGTGTCAGACTTAGTATGCTTATACAAAAGCGGTGGTGACTAGGTGTCTCGCACTATAACTCGAGCCTGTCAGGTCTAATCAGGCAATCGCTTCCATGCATCATAACAGGGAGGCAATCTGTCAATTGGGACCGCGTTCTACCGAGAACGGGTCGCATCAGCAGATGCCGCTCTGGCCACATAATATATTCATGGAAGGTCAATGTCTTTTCCCGACCACTGACTGTCCTCGAAGTGCCAGCACGCCGTACTTGCGACGGACCTGTCCCGAGAGCTTCAAGCTCAACCACTCTAGTCCACACATGCCGTAATAAGTCTACCAGATGCCTTCTGGAGCTTCGATGGTGAGCGCGCTCATCAGTATTCGGATCATTTTGTCACCACAGTTTGTCCGTTCAGTCTCAGGAGGTCGCTCTAACCAACGATGCCATCCTTGGTCTCTTTCATGCAACATATCAGCCACTGTCATCGCAGTGCGGTGCTGCTAGGTGTGTTCGAATGTTGAACGTATTGGAGCATCATGTATGCACGGCGTCCGCTGACTTTACTCAGTTGGCCTTGTACTCCGCTTAAACTGCGGATGCTCAAATTCGGCTACTGTATGCTGTTGGACTTCGCGTGTCCGTACCCACGAAATCGGCTCCTTTCGTCTTCGACGCAGCTCTATTGACATCCTCTGTTCTTGGCTCTTCTGACATCTTGACATGGCCGCCGTGCTATCTGCAGCGTCCTTCCCCTCCTGGCCCGCACTGTCATCTTCTCGTCCTCCATATACTGGACCGCTGGATCCACCCTCAGATCGAATTGCCCCACTCCCTGTCGTACACTGTAGTTCTGGGAACACACCTGGCTGCATCGACATGACCTTTGCTGTGCTCACCTCTAAACTCGTCCCCGAGCGGTTTTCTAGAAAGCGAATTCTCAGTGCTAAGTCTGCTAGCAGCCAAGGTAGCTTGGACGCTCTACCGACGGCTATTGCGACTGCGACTTCTCAAACGCCGACGATTTCGTCCCCCTCCACGTCTCATCCACCAGACACTAGGTACGGACTTGACCGGCTCGTTCGAGATGGCCATTTTGCCGGACGGATTCGTCCCCAACCTCCCCGCCCCAATGTGGATCACTTGTCGCCGTCCAAGGCTCGGTCCCTCGATCTTCCCCGCCAGAGCAATGTGGAAATCCAGGAAGTTCCTCGTGCAAGCCATAGCACCGAAAGTCTCATGATCTTCCTGCATCCCGCGCAATCTCGGTCGTCGACCTCTCTCTCCTCCTCTATTACTCCCCGGACCGTGAAAAGCAGCATGCTCTCCACCGCTAGTTCTCCACCAGCACTCGCAAAGAAGACGTTGTCGATAGTCCCAGCTCAGAAGGTGCGGTCGAAGCCGAGACGACAGGTGCACACACCGAGCTATCCGTACTTCACCACTCCTATCGTGTTTGCCTCTGTCAACCCGCACTGCGTCGCCGCTCCCGTCCAGGTCGCCCCTTCCAAGGGCAAAAGAAAACCCGTTTCCCGCACGGAGGACGCCTGCGCACCTAGTGGTAACGCCGACTCGTTCCCCTTCTTCAAGCTAGGCATCCGCAGGATACGCTCGCGGGGACACATCCTCCACTGGCACCACACTGATGATCTAGCGCACAGCGATGCCGTCTCCAACGATGCCGCGGCGACTTCCACCGCCAGACCCAGCGTTGACGCGTGCGTCTCTCTCGCAGACACATGCACGATGAGCGACTTCCCCGCGTCTGTGACGGCGACGGACGATGCGAGGCCGCCAAACGCAGACAGCGCGGATAGGGGAGGGCTTCTGGCAGCTGACGCGGGTCCCTCGCTTAGCGCCGGCGCAGACGAGGATCGGCGGCTCGAGATCGCGCTCGCCACCGTCAAGCTGAGTGAGGACGTGCACACGCAGAGCGGAATCGACGAGGTCATTCCGAAGCTACGTAGGCTTCGCGTCCCGGCGAGGTTGCGACTGTGATGTTGATGCTGTGAGTCCCCGTTCTAGTGGGGGAGGAGTTCATCTTTGATTGATATCTGTTCTCGTGCTGAGGTTCTGCTGTTCGATGATGCGCGGGCGATGCCAGTGAGTGATTATCTTTGTGTGATGTATAAACGAACCTTACAGTCAGCTTTGTGCAGATATACTGGGGATACTCACGTGAAAGCTAATGTTCTTGCAAATGAGAAGGGTGGAACCAGCCAAAACACCGGTTACGTCCTGACAGTAACCGCGTACCCTCAATTGGTGTTACAATACTAATATCGACTATAGTAGAACGATGCAGTAGTGTACAGTGATGTGATTGTACACGTATAGTCTGTGACGGGAAGTGTCGCATATGCAGCAGAAGATTTAAGTAGCGTGTATTGTAACTTACACCGTCGAAGTCATAGCATAATCATGAAGATTCATGCGCACCACCTCCTATCCTGGCCCGCCAATCGCACGAGTCCGACATGCAGCGCCCCGAAGACGAGCGTGGGCACGAAGCCATCGAACCACGTATCCACTACCGCAAGCCCGAGGACGGCCGCCGAAAACAGCGGATGAGGGCGCGCATTCGGACACATGCGTGCAACGTCGAGCACCTAAGGACGCACATTGGTATCATGGTTGTATCTCAGTTGATGAACGACCCACCTTCAGCACCAGCACGCAAGACTTGACCGTGCGCAGCCACAACACGCGCGGAATCCGCACATGGAGCTGTCTTCCACCAACATGAACCGTCCGCGCCCACACCCCGCTCGTGCTGGGAGGGACGGATGGCGCAGAATCGAGCAGCGGAACCTTCCCCTTCTCGCTCGTGGGTGCAGGCGGATCCGTCACGCTGATATCTGGCTCCTGTGAGACGCTGGCATGCAAGTCCGGGCTCTCGCTGACGGTCTCGGTGAAGAACACGGGGGGCGTGAAGACGCGCCGCAGCGCAACGGGCACGAGCGAGATACTGGAACTACGCTGGGCCCCTGTATCTAATGGTAGAGGGTCGAGCTAGTAAACGGTCAATCGTGAATAAGCGGAGACGATCAACTGCGCACGCACTCGGCCTTCCCGAATTGCCGCGAGCACGCGCTCAGAAGACGGGCGTGCGGGGGGCGTGACGTTCAGCAGGCTCTCGAGCAGGACGAGGTACGCTCGCGGGAGCCGGCGTGACTCGAAAGCGGTGACCAGAGCGTTCGTCGACTTAAATCTTAGATGCCCGGTCATGTCAAGCTTTGAGCAACTTGAGATGATGATTCACTGACCCAGCGTACGTCTGCACCTCGCTCTCCAGCATATCCGCCGTATCTCTTTCGTCCCTCTGGTCGTTTGCTGAGCCGTCGGATGCGTGTGGGTACGGCAGGCGGAAGAACAAAAGCTTGTGCAAGATCATGCCGACGGACCACATGTCGGATTTGGAATCCACCTGCATGAGGATGCCTGTAGGGGAGGGTAGCGATTCCGGCGAAGAGTACTCCAGACTGTAAGCGAGATCATGTCAGAAAAGAGACGATTCTATTAGATATGAGTACACGTACGTGCCAGTATTGCCAGAGCGGGCCCGAGACTTAAGCATATCTTGAGATGTACCAAAATCGGATAGCATGGCTCGGGGGCTGGAGGACTATTGTGAGCCTGTGCGCCAAAACCTCATACAACGAAGCGGCGCACATCAATTGTCCCTCATCCCATGTGAGCAGGACATTCCCTGGCTTCAGATCAAGATGTAGAATGGACTTCTCGTGCTGCAATCATGCAGTCATCAAGACCTGGCACTGCTGTAATCAATCATGATAAAGATCACGTACCAGAAACGCGAGCCCAGAAACAACGTCTCCAAAGAGGCTCCTCACCTCCTCTGCACTGAGAAGATGTACCGCCTTCAGGTCCGGGGGCTTATGGCCGATGCCACCGACATCGCTTGTAAGACCTAGCTCGCGCCGAAGACGCTCACGCTCGTCGGGTGGCGCTCGCTGGAGCGCGCGGAACGCACGTATTCTGGCTGTCCGAGACTGTGGATTGTGTGGAGGGGAGACCTCAGCTGCAGGCGATCCCACGGGTGATGCTGTCCCCGAAGAAGAGTGGATATGTGGAAAATGAGTAGCAGAGCTGCGCCCAAGTCGCGCGTCAATGAACTCGTCCAAGCTGCCGCCTTCGGCCCATTGCATGAGCACACTGAACGCGGGGAAATGACCACATCAATTACATCGCACATATCTCTGACGTGTAGCCTAGGGAATCGACCACTTACTGCAGAGTGGGCACTTGGGGGCCGAACGATGAAAACTGGCACGTCTCCAACCACGCATGGTGGTATGTGATGATGTTTGGGTGGTGTAGCCTTTCCAATAAGCGGACCTCGCGCAAGATGTTGAGCAGATACGCGTGCGACTGGCCGACGGCGATCTTCTTCACAGCAAAGTGACCTGACAAACAGTACACTCAGAACGAGGATCAACTGCGACACCACACCGGTGACACTCTACGCTGGAATCCACATATAGAGTTTGTCAGACAAGTGAAAGCCACATCTACACTGCATGGCTCAGTTCCCAAGCAATGTAGTCATGGCTCCAACCCAGGAAAGCTAGCCTATGACATACTTGCTATATCAAGGCATATTAGGGGGATGGCAAAGGCGCAGATGCAGCTGGGATGCCAGCCCAGCAAATCTACAATATCCATAGATGAAGCCAACGATACACGCACACACCTCCTACGTGTGTGGCGGCTGCGGGCAGCAAAAAACTCCAAACGATCAAGGTAACTCCAGGCCATGCGGGGAATATCACTTTCCGAATTACAAGCTAGTTCGGAAAGCTTTAGCCCAACCACGAAATCTTCTGACACAGGAATTCAAAACCAAATGAACCCAGTCTCATCTAGTGAGGCACATAGACCCTCTCCCGCGGCCAGCTGTAAGGATCAGTGGCCCGAAATGGGTCGCATGATTTTAATTTCCACAGCCCCAGAGTGCAAGCCTCACAGTCAACAAATAGCCACTTACCCAAAGGGTTTTCATCGAGAACATGCTAAGCACGGACAAGAACTCTACGTTGGATCCTGACCAAGAGCTAGAGAGATGGGACATGCCACGCACTTGGCAAAGAAATACCGAACCGTTTGCGCCCATACCAAGTCTACACTCCTCCTTGAAGAATGCCTTGAAGTATCCTTCAGCCATGTTGTTTGCGCGAAACGCGCCAGCCTGGCTACTCTCCCCACCATTTGGGATCGTTCTTGTCCGCGTGCCAGGAGGTGAAGCCGGCCGTGAGGCGGTCTCGTTTGCAATTTCCAGGAGCTGGAAGTAGTTGGACGCACGACTACGTGGATGCTGCCACAGCTCATCCTCAAAGTCGTCTACGTCGCTATCCCCCGAGGTATCCTCTTCGTCATTCCCATCCGTGTGTATAAAACGGTGACAATACGGACAGCGGCTGCCTGCATCGCGGCGCTCAAGACCACTTCCAGAATGTTTGCGGATGGACAGCGCATGTGAGGTTGGGTTATAAAGCACGACTTGGTTGGAAACGTGTAAAATTGGCTGCCATTCAGGGTCTAACGGAGCAAGTGCGACCAATGCACTCGAAGGGGATGGCGGCTGGCTTTCGTCAAACATAGAGGAAATGCAGCAAGTGCTGACAGTATTTCTGCGCAGAGCTTTCACAGGGAGAGTTCTTGAAGGGAAGAGAGAATGTGTTTGGCTCTTGGGAGACCTGAGAGACCGTGATATTTGCGAGCCAGGCTGGCGTCGAGATCAGTCCAGACGTACCCTAGTGTTTCAAACAGGCTGAGCCAGGCGAGATTCAGCGCAACGTGTTCAAATTGTATGTAAAATGCAACACAATCATTTCCACGCGGATTAGGGATGTTGGCGATGATGGTTGGCAGAATTGAAGATCGTGGTCCGACTCTCTACATTCGACCCGGCAATGGCCGAAAACGAGTTATGTCACTACCACCACTTGTTACAGTATTTTCATTCACTCATTCAAAGTTCCTCATCAATGGCTGCGAGCAATCAGAAAAAGCATCAGTCGTGGAAGGTTGCGGCCAAGACAGATAGGCATTTTCCTGTACGAACAAGCCTTGCTTAGAGTACAGCGTTTTGCTGCTGACGCATATGCAACAATGTAGTCGCAATCATGTACGTACTAGAAGATACCACTGTCTTCCCCGTCGAATGCCGTATGGATCAGCATCTCCGTGTCGAATGTTGCGTCCCCGCCTGAGCATAAGTAGCAAGAAACTCGAGAGCATAAAGTCGTTCAACATCGGCTTCCTACCATACGGATGTGAAGATGGGAACGCTGCGCCAGTCTGCAGGACGATGGAACGTGGTCCTCTTACGGATATATGCACAGGCAAAACATTTCAATTCGTGGCCGCCCCAGCAAGCAATCTGCCCCTCTACGCGGAAGTACCACATGCATGGCTGTTGTTCGCGGACTGAGCACATTTCCATCCACGAGCTCATATTGTGTGGAAAGGAGTCCATAGACATGAAGTACGTGTTGCAACCAGCCGCCAACACTATGACGTCTCTCATTTCACATTCCTCCAATCCCATATTTTCCTCTGTCTTACCTCACGCTTCGTCCCATATAGCATCTCACTCCAACCTCCAATCGTTTATTCTATCTCACTCCTCAGGCTTTCGGCAGACGCAGACGCCTGCCGCGCCGGAGTTCCTTATCACGACTATTTTCATCTGAAAGTGCGTGAATTGTGTTTACATAATGCGACATCAATGCATGATTCCAAGTTCTTCTAGACTATGTCGACAACGACATTAATTTCAGTCGAGCTTCGTCGCGTACGAATCCAGAGCAGTTCGGAGGTTCCCAGTCCCAACTTTCACGGGAGCAAGCTCTTTCTTCAGGTCCTATAACGCCAGCATCCCGATAGTTCGACATGTCGTGGAGTTGAAAATAGTGACTATATCTCACCTCGACGATCTTACTCCAATCGTCAGCCTTGGCTTTCGCGAGGGCGTCGATCACATGGTGGATTTCGCCCGGCACCTGCAGAAGCCGCTTCAATGTCGATAAGAGAAAAAAATGACGCGACTTACGAGGGCCTCGATCTCACTAAATGCGGTCTTCACACCCGGCATATTATCCAATTGATATTTGCTCGAGGGGTGGGCTTCCTGGAATGGGTACTCAGTTTAACCAGGAAACACCAGGAAACAGCTAGGGAAAGACGAACGGCCAGGAAGTTGTTGAATTCTATAATGACATCGTTTATGTCACTCTCCTGCGTGACCAAGTCTAACATCGAGAGGAAGACGTCGACAAATCCTGCAAGAAAACGCGTCAGGATACGAGCTCGAGTGTTAGCAAGAGATCTTACGTTGTAGCCAAGCGGAGACAGAAGAAGCAGCATTTCGGGTTTGCTGCAAAGCACTGACCCAGCTCTAGAATTAATTGGTCAAAGTCGTTTCGACATTATTTTCATGGTGAAGAAATTTACTGCGCTGAATTTATCTGCGCTAGCCTGAAGCTCTACAACAAGTTGGAAGTTCGCGGCGTATTTGCTGGCGAAGTCTGCAGCATCCCGTTTGGCACGAGCAACGCCCTTGTCGATGGTAATCCCTTCGTTGGAAAGGGCGTTAACCTTGGCGATGAACGTCTGTGGATTCGCGAGCGGGGAGGTATAAGCCATTTGTTCTTTTCAACAGGAGACGAGTGAGAGCGAGAGATACTGGGGATACATTCCACCGACTAGTATTTATACTGCATGGCGACTCAGCCGAAGCTCCTCCCAAACCGAATATCCACACGAACTGATTCGAGGTCATGTCACTGATCCGTCTGAACCTGGACTCCAAAACCCCGTCCAGTACATAGCTTGTAATTAAGATGTACATTATCATCATCACACGCGCGAATCCTGCTGGAAAGAGTAAGTGTCATTCCCTGCAACGTCAAGCAAGATGGTCTGGAACCATGAGCACGCACTCATGTTCGTTCTGTGTTCTTCTACTGTCTTGCTAAATTTTGTTGATTCAGATATCGTTCAGCTTGAACGAGTTCGATTCCAAACATGGTCTCCGCTCGGACCGCGCTCAGCGCACGAGTTGTGGCTTCGACGAGAAAGTGCCAGGCCTCCCGCTATGGAGTCATACGTACGTATTTGCATTCATTCAGTGTTTTCGTACCATCTTCTAGCGCACCAGATTGTCCGACTTGAAGAAATTCGATTCTAAATCCGATCATTATCGTGAACACGCGTAAACCTTGCGGGAAAGAACAAGTGTTGTGTCCTGTAATGTTAAGCACTTTGCTCTGTAACCATTTGCAGCGCGTGCTCGCGTTCATTCGGTGTTCTTATACTGTCTTTTGAAATTTTGTTGATTCAGATAATGTCCACCTTGAATGAATTTGATTCCAAACCTGGTCTCTGTTCGAACCGCGCTCAGCACACGATTTGTAATTTGGATCAGAAAACACCGGGCCTCGTAATATGGAGGCACAAGTACGTGTTTGCGTTCATTCAGTGTTACCTTCCCGTCTTCTATCACACCAGTTCGTTCAAGTTAAACAATTCAATTCTAAACCTGGAATCTACAAACGCATGTCCAGTACACGACTTGTAGCTTGAGCGGTCGTGATCATGGAACTCTGCTGGTAAAAGAAACTCTTGTGCATTGCAATGTCAAGTAGCTTGGTCTAGAATCACAAGTACGTACTTTGTCATTCGGTGATCTTCTGTGGTACACATCTCTGAGGTTGGAACCCCAGAACTCATCCAACTTGAACGACTTCGATTCTTAATGCGTTGAGTGCTATGTCAGGACTAATTGTCCTTCAAGCCAGATCACGAGAGCAGCCTGAATTTCGCTATTGCCAGCACTTTGGCATCTTCGTTTGGCGGACTTTCACAAGTATCCGTGAGCTATCGTTATGATTTCCTATTCGGCTAAGAGTCCTTTCCGTATAAAAGCCGTACTATAGCATCTGGTTTCACAGTGCTCTCGCTTTCATCTATCAACTCTATCGACATGGCCGCTGTTGCAACCCTCAGCCGCGTAGATATTCAGAAGGTCGTTGACACTGGGGCAGCAACGGGTGGACCCACTGACGATGAAAAGGCCAAATTTACAAGCGATGCCCTTGGCGAATTGAGAAAGGATGATCAGGTCAAGATATTCGAGGACAATGTCAAGCAGGTCGGAGTTTGGGCCAATCAAGTCGACGCGGCTTTCGACAACGTAACGCGCGGCTTTGAGAGTATGAATACCAAATATGGCCAACAATTTCCCGAGATTTCTGCCTACCTCAATGAATGGAAAGGTTATAAGGGGGTGAGACTCAGTTCTCGTCTATTTATATGTGCTGACGCTGCCAACGATCAGAGTTGGGTGCAATATCTAGCGAACTCGCGCAATGTTGCGTCCACACACATCACAATCCTCAGGCGTGCGTTTACCATAGCCGTTCCCTGTAAACCACTGATTATTTTGTACAGGCTTTGACCAAGTTTTCCTGAATATGGTGGAAAATATTAAGACGGACCAGGATCGTGTGGCCGTCATCGGTGAACTCCAGAAATTCATTGTTCGTTTCTTTCTCTCTCCCCAGCTCGCCATTGTTGCTTATATTCCCTCCATAGGACGAAAAGCATGACGATTCTACCCAAATGTCGCAGGACTTTCTCAATCTTAAGCGCGATATCGAGGCTTTTGTCGGGAGATTTGATCAATGGATCGTGGACAAGGGGGTGCAGCTTGAAGCGCAGGCGAATCAATTGATACAGGATATTAACGGTCTTCAAGGAGAAATATCAGCGTGGGCCTTTTCCTCCTGCTTGGTCGTCATTGGCCCACCTAACAATGAATATATGTAGTTTGGACAAGAAGGTCCGCCTGCGTTTGCCATCAGATTCCACCAACTTCTGGCTGAAACATTTCGACTAGATCAATGATGCCACAATCGCGCTTTCGGCCATGGGCATGTCTCTGAATGTATGTATATGCCTCTACGCCTCTACGTTCTGACCTTGTTCATTTTGCACAACTTTGAAAGATTTTTGGATTAATTGTCGCCGGCTCTGTGCTCGCTTCGTACAAATCAGATCGCAATAGTAAGTGCCGTCGTGATCTCATCCTGCAATCATCTTTATCCCGCGTTAGGCAAGGCCGCAGATCTCGCCAAGAAAAAAAAGGACCTTGCAGATGTCAATCAGAAACAGACAGATCTAGCTAATCTCAAGACCGAGTTCAATGGCTTGAAACCGGACATTATGTTGATTTGCGAGAAGCTGGTTTTATTCGCTGAAATATGGTCTTCGGTGAGTCCATCTGTTGAACACCAATCATTGTCGGCTAACATGAACAATCTAGGTTCAAAGCCAAACTATACAGTTCCAGGAACATCTCAAGGGTGGAACAGGATCCGAAACTAACATTGTACGCTTTTACTCGTCTTATGCAACCATGGGCAGCTCGATTGATTTTTTGCAGAGGTTCAGAATGGAGGTTCAGCTTGCCAGAGCGGTATGCTCGCCCCTCGTGAATGGTCTTGCGCAATACTCTACCGTACTGGAGAACCGTACCACCAATGCAAGCGGCTAACTCTTCGGATGAGCTCTTACGATGTGTGATCTCATTCTGCACTATGAATCCCTTTCTTGTTCGTCAATGTATCATGTACAGTGCTCGTCTACTTTCGACCAATTCAATGATCCTTGTGCCCAAGTTGGGGTTAATGTGTACTCTGCTGCGATTCCTCACAGTCATTCTGGCCGGTTAGACGAAAGAAATTGTAGGCATGCCATTGGCATGTCATGCAGACGTCCGATCTGATTTCAATGCTCCAACACCTTTCTCTGTCTCCGTTCCCCCAACCTTCTCACTCAGTGGCTGTATCAGCTTGTCCGCCATCTGCTTGCATGGACAGTGCTTTTGAAATTTTATGTAACTAAATCAATATTGTCTATGGCAAAGGAAGAACAGGCAAAGAATTCGTGAACGAAGTGGCCTAGGCAGGAGGGCCTACCAATGTTACAATCCGCTATAAGAGTCTTAAGTGACATAAAAAGGAATATTCCCGTGCACCCCTCCAAAAACGCTTCAAGGATCCAGCCTCAGGGATGAGGCCAGATCAGACGACGACCCAATTTGGCAGTGGTTTAACGACTTGAACGTGGCAGCCAAATAAGTAAACTCATACTAGTAAACCCAGTCATTCGAACGCATTCAAGGTACGAGTCTAGCAGCCAAGCTCTGCTCATTGGTGATCGTAACTCTTATATTGCCATCAGCAAAGTGCGAGAATGAATACATACCTAAACAGGTATCTCAAAAAGCCGACGTACGGATACACCGGCAGATAGATATGCTCGGATCTGCTTGGGACACGGATTGATCTTAGACCGCAGGTATCCTATCTGACCACATCTATTCATGTCCAGAGTTGTCAATCGCCGCCAGCGCAGATAATCGTTTTCGCATTTTGGCAATGAGATACCTTCTGCTCATATTCTAAAGATTTCTGGTCCCTCGTTTTGCAGCTTGCCCCACTGACGGCGAAATGACTGCCCTATTGTTACGGACCTCGAGCTGCAGGGGAGCGAACAATGTGATGTGGAGTCGCTGTGAATGGGACCGCGACCAGAGACAGTAGTTCTGCATTTGAAGGAGAATTAGAAGGCGCGGCCCTTTCATCCCCCACCAGAATGACAACCATCGAGTCAAAATCAAGCCATTCAAGGACTCCAATGGCTTTAACTAGACTCGAGATTTCGCAAAACAGGAAAGTTTACACCGGTGACTCAACATCGTCGTTGCATCTAATTGTGCGCTTATCGTCGTCAGGATCACATCTAGTACGCCGTCGGCATTCTAGGCTCTATGATTCCCTTCCAGCTGTTATGGCGAATGGTTGTTCTAGGTTCGTGTTCCGGCGATAAATTTGCCATAATTTAGGAGCCAGGTTAGCCAAAATGGTACGTTCCAACTGGAACTTCTGATCGTAGCCCGTTCAAACGTATTGGTGTCGCACCTGCAATCTCTCAACTTCTGAAGAAGGCACTCGAGATAGGGCGAAGGTCCCCACAATTGCCATCTTAAACAGCGGAAGCTCTGTTGAAAGACCATCTGACGCTCCAATTTTCCTCACTTGTAGTTGTGCTTCCAAGTCGGGTGAGTTCAGCAGAGCAAATTCTATCTACGGTCCTTGGTATGCGTACACGCTCATGCAATACAGCTGCCAATAAAGTCCCTCTTGTCCTTTCAGGCATGTCTGCGAACTTCTTATTGGATTTTATCAGCTGATGGGATCCCAGCCGTTTGATCATGAAGTGTTAATTCCGTCCACTTAATCATCCGATTCGACAGCTCGAAGGTGCCAGGGGACCTTGAACTCATACAACTGTATCAAAGAGTACAGCTATCCCCCTGTTGTAACTGGTATAAAAGGCTCAAACTGCTCAGTCGTCTCTGATATAGCGCTATCGCCTGCCCAAACCCCTCTCGTAATTTTTGAACTCCTTGCATCAGTATGGCAACTACAACCCCACCAACCTACGAGGAAGCCCTCGCCGAAGCACAGCGCCTGCTAGCTCAACCTGTCACAGTGGGCGACAAGATTCAATTTGCCAAAGACGCCATCAAGGTCCTCGACGACGACAGTCAAGTCAAAAAATTTGAAGAGGAAATCGAGAATATTGGTACAGCTGCGGTTCAGATTGATCAAGCCTTCGACCGTGTCGCTCGCGCCTTCCAAGACATGGTTGACAAACATGGCAGCGATTTCCCAGAGATCGCCGGCTACAAAGGAGAATGGAATGCCTATAAAGGGGTAAATCAGTCAGCTGCTAATCATTCTCCAGTCAATTCAACCATCGTTTCCAGCGCTGGGTCACGTACCTCTGGAACTCGCGGAATGTAGCATCCGAGATGAGTGCAGTCCTCACGCGTAAGGCCTTTGCTTCCGCGAGTTGCACCTTTTGACATCCATTTCCTGTAGGATATGACCAAGTGTTCCTGAACTTGATTGATAATATCAAGACAGACGGAGACCGCCAAGATGTCATCAAGGAACTTGGAAATTTCAGCGTAAATCTGAAAAATGATTGATTGACGCGTTTGATTGATTGATTTCTATGTAGGGCGAAAATCATGGAACAGCAGCGCAGATGTCGGCCAATTTCACGAACCTTGAGGCGGATGTCAGAGGCTTCGGCGCGAGATTCGAAACCTATCTTGAACAGAAGAAGGTGCAACTCGAGCAAATGGCGACATCCTTAAAGGCCGATATCGACACACTTCAAGGACAGATCAAAACGTGCGTTTTCCTCTCTCATACGATGCTATCCGTGTCAACAGCTAACGCATCGTTACAGCTGGAATGAAAAGGCATGTTTTCCGCATTACGAAGATTTGTTCTTGGATGATGCTTACACACTATTTTTGTGCTCATTTAGATTGCTGCTGGTCTTCTGTCAATGGGCGCCGGATTGGCTTTCTCGGTATGATCGCAGTTCTCGACATCATGTGCAAAGAAACGACTTTTGACTTTGGCTTTACAGTTCTGGACGTTGATCATCACTGGTTCGACTGTCGCTTATTTTATCTATCAACGCGTCAGTGAGTGCATAAGTCAAGCCGATGAGTATGATGAGTATCTAAATGCTTTGTCCATCCTGCTAGAAGCCGAACATGACCTTAACGATAAGAAGGCTGAACTTGTAGAAGTCAATCGCAAGCAGAGTGGTCTGGCGGAGATCAAGACCCAATTCGACGGTCTGAAGCCGGACATTGCACTTATTTGCGAGAAACTGGTTATATTCGGCAATATTTGGCAGTCGGTAAGTCGCTCGTGTTCACTTGTACCAAGATTCCTTTGTAATGATGCCGAATTCAGGTCAGCGCTCAATGCGCAGATTTTGGCCAACATCTCCAGAAAGGCATGGACGCCCTTAATGACGAGGTAAGAATCTGCATTGAGTCTTTCATCGAGCAATTGGACTGACGAAGACAATCAGGAATTCCGGCTGCAAGTCACGCTCGCTAGAAAAACGTGCACTCCTCTTCGTAACGGGCTTAACAATTACGCGACGTCTCTTGACCAATCTACACTCCAGAAGGTCTAAGCAAATAACTGGGAAGTCCGAATTTGGAGGGAGCGAGACAAAGATCTTGCGTGTTTATCTGAATCGTGTTGTATGGTTACGTCAGTTATTCGCTTTGAATACGAATTTCATGACCAGCCCATATGCCCTTCCACGATCATCAAACGCATGAAAGCCGCCAATGTTATCACCCCTGATCCTTGTACTTAGTACATCTCCTTAGGTCCAATCGATCCAGCCAGTGGTAGCTGACCTAAAACTCGAAGATAATCGAACGAGCTATGGATGAGGTTTACTGGAGGCGAAGACTCCATGGCGCAATCGCGACCGCGTGCGTGCCATGGAATGCGCACTGATGTTGAACATTAGCTCACGCCTGAGCATATCAAGGAGCTCGAGAGCGTAAAGCCGTTCGACGTCGGCTTTCCCGACCATTTCTAGTAGATGCGTTTTGACCGTGTATTGCGTGCCATCCCACGCGCATCTTCTATACGTTCGCGCATGCGGAGGGATACACATCGGTGGAAGCAGGGCAATGACGCGAAGCTCCTGCGACAATATGCGCAGACGAGACACTGACCATCTCCAAAGTGTTTATCGTACGGTGCTTGCGTGCACAGTAAACGGCCCGGTCTGGAACTTGAATGGCGCTCCGTAGCCAATGGTATGAAATGGTGCGAGCTAACCCATGGCACTCTGTACCATCGGCTAACCAGAACTGAAGTGCTGGACCCCCGGTCGTGACGGTTGATAGTAGGATCCCTACACGGCGATCATAGCCTGAAGAACTAACCACGTGTCCAGCTTCAATGTCGATGCAAACGGAAATATTACAGAGGAGCATATCTCCTGCATAGCTTCACCACTGCACCACACCATCCTACGGCGAAGGGATCATTGTTTCTTTGTTATATTCCAACTACAGATAATTCATCTACTGATTGCGAATTGACTGGCCATGATGGACGTCAAGTCGGTAGATGGAGTCATCTCTGTCCAAGCAAGCTTCGCATCCTGGTCACACAGTGCACCCCAGACATAACGAGCCTGGTGCACAAGAGGCTGTAGGGTCGAAGTTTGAACAAGTGCAAGGAAAGTATAGCTATCGTGACCCATAAGTACTAGAACTTGAAGGTCGCGTTTACCGGGTACTCTCGTTTACCCTCGTTTACCCGGCACTGGCCCGGGGATTGCCGCTCCTCGCGATCGACTACCGTGACATAGTCGAACATTTGCCAGTGAAACCTCCAAGTTCAAGTCGAGTTAGCTTGAGCTTCAGGTCGACATCCAACCTGCCCTTCTTCATAGTCCGGATCGTCGCCCTGCGCAAGCGAACCATTCGATCCAATCACTGGCAATTAGATGAATTTCTATAGCTTTTCAGAAGTTCGGCACATATGTTTCTCACCAAGAAGGCTGCGTGATTGCAGCCGACAACGAACGGTGTAAGCTTCGTTTCTTCTCGCACCGAAGTAGACCCTCACTCATGACCGAGTCCGCGAGTAGTTATCAGAATGTCGTTATCAGTCGTGGGAGGCCACGGTGAAAGTATCTTCGATGCACACCTATATGAACAAGCCTCGTTTTCACCTCCCACGAGGCCGTCACAACGATTATGTTCTCATATCTGGCTCATCGTCGCTCTTGGTGAGTTCATCAACCGGTGCACACAACACGATGGTCGCTTATCGACCCGACAAGTCGTGTGAAGCAGCAAGAACGAAATGAACGCATCCAGCGTCTCTCGCCTGTCTATCACACCGCGCTATCCGAAGCCGACAAGAGTATTCTTGCCAAACCAGTCTCTGAGATTGTCGCCAGCGTACAGGCGGGCGAGCTTAGCCCGTCGGATGTCCTCGTTGTGTACGGCAAGAAGGCCTTGAAAGCGCATGCGGCGACGAACTGTCTCACTGAAGTTCTCATCCCCAGCGCAGAGGAATGGGCGAAGACCTGCGACACAAATGGTCCCCTCGCGGGCATGCCGGTCAGTCTGAAGGACGAGATCTCCATCGCTGGATTCGACGCGTGCATCGGATACTCTGCGTGGGTCGGCAAGACCATCAAGACGGATTCAGCTCTTGTGAAGTTGCTTCGTGATGCTGGTGCAGTACCGTTCGTGAAGACAAACGTGCCTGTGACTATGCTATCGTTCGAGGCTGCAAACGAAGTCTTCGGCACGACAACGAATCCACACAGCAAGGACTACGCGCCCGGTGGATCGTCCGGTGGTGAGGCCGCCCTGCTCGCCTATGGAGGATCACGTATTGGGGTCGGTTCGGATGTAGCAGGCTCCGTGAGAGTGCCCTCGTGAGCAAGCACATTGTTTTTTCGTCATTGGTAGCGTGCCAATGGGACATGTTTCATACAGCCATTACTCCGGCACTTACACGGTGAAAGCGTCCTCGCGTCGATTCTTGAAGGCAGGCAATTCTAACTCCAGTATACCTGGTGAAGAGGGCGTCCCTGTGGCGTTCTCTCCGATGGCACGAACGCTTGAAGATCTCGAGACCTTCTGGCGCGCTGTCATGAGTATGAAACCGTGGCAGTATGATGATTCGGTAGCGATTGTTGGTTGCCGCGGCTTGAGAGTATGATTGACGTTCTATTTTACAGGTGTTGCCTATCCCTTGGCGTGAAATTGACTTATCTGCAACCAAATCTCTTCGGTGGGGTGTCTTGTGGGACGATGGTAATGACATCTCGCTTCTAGTTGGACGTCATGTACTAACTTGCTCAAAGGTGTTGTCATCCCTTCCCCTGTATGTCGCCGTGCACTGCAAGAGGTTGTCGACGTCCTTCAAGCTGATGGACACGAGGTGGTTCCTATGTCAGTACACTGGAACTATTATCCTCTATACGCGTGTCTGATCTATTACAACGTGTAGTAATCCACCTAGCCCGTACGAGGGCCTACGTCTCGCATCTCAGTTGTTGTACGCAGATGGAGGTTTGTTTCTCCAAATAGATGCCAGTTGCATATTGACAAGCGGATAAAGGCAAAATGTGTATCAAGCCCATGCGTTATGGCGAGTTCAATGACCCCGGTGTAATACAGGCTCTAGCAATGTTCCGCACGCCGCGCTTCGTCAAGAGGCTCTATGCCTGGTACCTCAGACACATCCGCGGTGATGAGGTGTACGCAGGGCTCGTAGAGGATTGGTCAGAGAAAACGATCCCAGAATATTTAATGCTCGTCTCGCAGCGTGATTCGTATCGAGAACGGTGGCACCAGTTCTTGCAAGACCAGGCGCTCGATTTCGTGATCACTGTGCCGAACGCGCACCCTGCTGTGCCTCACGGAGGCATAAAGGATGGGTGGAAATCATGTGGATATACCTTCTTATGGAATTTGGTACGCTGGGGCGTTGCTTTTCCTATGCCGCTATTCTGATCATTGAGATAGTTGGACTACTCCGCGGGGGTGCTTCCGGTCACACATGTGGATCAGGCGAAGGACGCCCTCCCTGCTTTCAAACCGAGAAATGCTATCGAACGAGGTGCGTACAAAACGTACGACGCAAGAAAGATGCACGGCTTGCCTGTGGGCGTCCAAGTTATTGGGAGACGGGTGGAGGAAGAGAAGGTGTTGGAAGGTATGAAGATCATTCAGAGGCTCCTCAATCAGCAGGGAAACGTATACATTCCCTTGGAGCTCGACTAGAAGGCATGTCAGACATCTTCACTTCCATTGCACATTATCCGAGTAGTCTGTGTCATGTTTCCACATTCTGCGATATGCCACCTGGTCTGTCCACTTCCCAATATGACCTGCCCTTATCCATTGTCTGCACCCTCTGCAAGCGAGTGATCTGGTCCCATCAAAATGGCACTGCTCCTGATTCCTTTCCATGGCATTGAAGAATTTCCATAGCCTTGAGGGTGCTATCTGTTGGCATATCGAGACAAGTTTTCTCACCAAGAAGGCTGAATTGCGTAAGCCGACCTTCTAGTAAGTTTCGTCCCTTCTCATACCAAAGTGAATCCTCACTCATGACCGCGTTCGCGAGTAGTTATCAGAACGTTGATGTCATTCGTGAGAGGACGCAGCTAGAGCTTGGCTAGAACATCTTCGATATGTACATGGGCACACCTATATGAGCAATCCCCGCTCTCACCTCCCACGAGGCTATCATAACAACCATGTTTTCATATCTGGCCCATCGTCGCTCTTGGTGAGTCCATCAACTAGTGGACACCGCATTGTGGTGGCTGATGCGAGTTGACAAGTCGCGCGAAGCAACAGGAGCGTAATGAGCGCATCGAGCAGCTCTCGCCTGTCTACCATAGCGCGTTATCTGAGGCCGATAAGAGCATTCTTGCCAAACCAGTCTCTGAGATTGTTGCCAACGTGCAATCCGGCGAGCTCAGCCCGTCGGATGTGCTCACTGCATATAGCAAGAAAGCGCTGAAGGCGCATGCAGAGACGAACTGTCTCGTTGAGATCATGATCCCTAGCGCAGAAGAATGGGCGAAAACCTGCGATACCAAAGGGCCCCTAGCTGGCATGCCGGTCAGTCTGAAGGATGAGATCTCCATCGCTGGATTCGACGCGTGCATTGGGTACTCTGCGTGGGTCGGCAGGACCGTCAAAGCGGATTCTGCCCTCGTGAAGTTGCTTCGCGATGCGGGTGCGGTGCCATTCGTGAAGACTAATGTGCCTGTGACTATGTTATCATTCGAGTCTGCCAACGAAGTCTTGGGTACGACGACGAATCCGCACAGCAAAGACTACGCACCCGGTGGATCGTCTGGCGGGGAGGCCGCCCTGCTCGCCTATGGAGGATCGCGTATTGGAGTCGGCGGGGATGGTGCGGGTTCAGTTAGGGTGCCTTCGTGAGCGTCCAGTATATTGCTGCTACTATTCCATTGTCGATGGCTGACGTGCACACGATAGCCATTACTCCGGCACCTACACGGTGAAGGCTTCATCGCGCCGCTTCTTGAAAGCCGGAAATACTCACACCAGTATACCTGGTGTAGAGGGTATCGGTGTGGTGTTCTCTCCAATGGCAAGGACGCTTGAAGATCTTGAGACGTTCTGGCGCGCTGTCATGAGCATGCGACCGTGGCAGTACGACGACTCGGTAGCTATCAATGATCCTCCCAAGCTGACAGGACAATCAGTGATGGTGTTTTCGGCAGGTGTTGCCTATCCCTTGGCGTGAAATGGATTTGTCTGCTACGAAATCACTTCGCTGGGGTGTGTTATGGGATGATGGTTAGGATGTCTCGCTTCTGGTCAGATGGAGTGTGCTGACCTGCTGATAGGTGTCGTTGCCCCTTCCCCTGCATGTCGTCGTGCGTTGCAGGAAGTTGTAGATGTCCTGAAGGCGGATGGACATGAGGTAATCCCTATGTCTGTCTCCCAGCATTATTGTTTCCCTATCCTGCGTCTGATCCACTACAATATGTAGCGATCCACCGAGCCCTTATGAAGGTTTACGACTCGCGTCTCAGCTAATGTACGCGGATGGAGGTGCGCTCGTTCGTAATTGATCCGATATTTGAGTGACATCTGGACGAAGCCAAAATGTGCACCAAGCCCATACGTTTTGGCGAGTTCAACGATCCCGGCGTTAGAGAAGCCCTCGCTATGTTCCGTGCACCACGCCTCGTCAAGAAATTCTATGCCTGGTACCTTGGACACATCCGTGGCGATGAGATGTACGCAGGGCTCATCAAAGACTGGTCCGAGAAAACAATCCCGGAATACCTCATGCTCGTTTCACAACGCGAGGCATACCGCGAGCAGTGGCACCAGTACTTGCAAGACCAGGCACTCGACTTTGTGATCACTGTGCCGAACGCGCACCCTGCTGTACCCCATGGGGGCATGAAGGACGGGTGGAAGTCATGTGGATATACTTTCTTGTGGAATTTGGTGCGTCGAGATGTTGTATGTTATAAGATGACATCTCTGATGGTGAATCCAGTTGGATTACTCTGCGGGTGTCCTCCCTGTGACGCATGTGGATGAGACGAAAGATGCGCTTTCTGCGTTCAAGCCGAGAAATGCTGTGGAGAGAGGTGCCTACAAAATATATAATGCAGAGAAGATGCATGGCTTGCCAGTAGGCGTGCAGATTGTGGGGAGACGCCTGGAAGAGGAGAAGGTGCTCGAGGGTATGAAGATTATCCAGAGGCTGCTCAGGCAGGAGGGGAAAGCATATGCGCTTCTGGACTTTGACTAAGCTAAAATCGTTAGCTGTTCTTGTTGACCTCGTGGTATAGTTCTTTACTGAACTCACCGTGAAAATGTCATTCTCGAGATCCGCCTCTAACACGTAACCTGTATTCGTCAGTCCGTCCATATATCATATATCAACTGCAGTTGGCTTTCGTCGCTCTGGTCCATCATCAAGGTAGCTTGACTTCATCCGAAACATCAAGCAGCTGAACCCAATTGCTGGTAGGATGTCAGACTGAAAAGCAGCCCGACTACGGCCAAAATGGCTGCCTTAGGCTGGCGATACTTACATGGCTGCTTTACGGACGCGAGATTGAGTAACACGTATCATTATAGCGGCATGATGACATGTACGCGAAAGGTTTGTTATAAGTACTTGTGCGCATGCCGAACGAGCCTTGAGTACTCCGCATATATGGCTGCTGCGGAGTGTTAATATTTGTGGCTCCACGAAGCCGCTGTGGCTGCGGGATGGCGACCGCGCTGCGCACTCCTGTCCACCGAGATTTCCGCACAACCTCTGCATCTCATCCGAGATTTTGATCATTCGGCTTCAGGACATCCGCAGCGGGTTACTTAGGCACCAGTGCGTATATAATTTCAGCAGCAGCAATGGCTGTGACTCCGCAGCCCTGGCTGACCCGTATTAATTGGCAGCCTGACTTTCGACGAAAGATCAGTGAATCTCTCTTCGTCCCCGCCATGGAAGCCCTACGTTTGCGCAAGAAATACCCTGAAGTCTCCCAAGATGAAATGTTTGATCTTATCAACCGCTTCAAGTGTGTCCGATACCGCATACAGGGTGGAGTATTGCTGATACCCGTGTAGTGCGATCCAGACCGACACACCAGGACGTATCGACAAGGCTGGTGTTCTCCAAGCATTGCAAGCGAATGGAGAATCATACGATCACGCTCGAGAGACGTTGAAGCACGTTAGTGTCGATGCTAGTGGGAAGGTCGAGCTAGAAGATTGGGTGGAGGTACATGCTCCATGATATCATCGAAACGATATCAACTCACAGCAATTTGTAGTTAAATGTGAAACTCAGGACACAAGCACCAGCCGTCCTTCCATCAAGCAAGGGCAAGGTCACTGTTCAGGGCTCGAACTCAAACGTCAGCCATACGATCAACGAGGACGAGCGGGCAGAATTCACAAATCACATCAACTCAGTGCGTTTGATTGCTGTATATCTACACGGATGAATTGCTCAAATTCATGCAGGTTCTTGAGGGCGATCCCGATGTCGCCTCTCGCCTCCCCATACCTACGAACACCATGCAGCTTTTCGACGAATGTAGAGACGGTCTCATCCTCTGTAAACTTATCAACGACTCTGTTCCCGACACCATCGATCCCCGAGTGCTAAACAAGCCAACTGCTCGGAAGCCCTTGAATGCGTTCCAGATGACCGAGAATAACAACATTGTTATCACGTCTGCCAAGGCGATAGGCTGTTCGGTTGTCAACATTGGGTCGTCAGATATTGCAGAAGGTCGCGAGCATCTGATCTTGGGTCTTATTTGGCAGGTCATCCGGCGCGGACTGCTCGCGCAGGTTGACATCAAGATCCACCCAGAGCTGTACCGGCTGTGTGAGGAGGGCGAAACGATCGAAGACTTGCTCAGGTTGACTCCAGACCAGATCTTGCTCAGATGGTTCAACTACCACCTCAAGCAGGCAGGGTGGAAGCGAAGGTTGGTGGCCACGGCTACTTCGCGGACGGCAGCGCTAAGGCTTGCTTTACAGGGTGAACAACTTCAGTCGGGATGTTTCGGACGGTGAAAATTACACTGTTCTGCTTAACCAGCTCAAGCCAGAGCAGTGTTCTCTTTCTCCACTCCAAACACGCGACACGCGGCAGCGGGCAGAGCAAGTACTCCAAAATGCTGATGCCATCGGGTGCCGAAAGTATCTTACAGTTTCGTCTTTGGTATCTGGAAATCCCCGGCTGAACCTCGCGTTTGTTGCGAATCTATTCAACAACCACCCTGGCCTTGCGCCTTATGATGAACAGGAGGCGAAAGACTATGGCGCGGTAGAGGACTTCGACGCAGAGGGCGAACGTGAGGCGCGTGTGTTCACGCTTTGGCTGAACTCACTTGGTGTCGATCCGGGCGTGTTCAACCTGTTTGAGAATCTCCGAGATGGCGTGATCATCCTGCAGGCGTTCGATAAAATCATGCCCGGCAGTGTCGTGTGGCGGCGAGTGAGCAAGCCAAAAGCGGGCGCAGTGCAGGACAGTTATGCTGCAGGCGGAGATGGCGAGGAGGAAGAGGATATCGGTGTCACGCCGAACCAGTCGAAGCTGTCCCGTTTCAAGCAGGTCGAGAATTGCAACTATTCGGTGGAGCTCGCAAAACAAAATGGCATGCACATGGTCGGAATCCAGGGCGCCGATATCGTGGATGGGACAAAAACTCTTGTGCTCGGGCTCGTATGGCAGCTCATGCGGTTCGTTCTTACTGCTTATTATCGCTTTAATATGTCCCTGAATACACTCTCTAGACTCAGCATTGTCAAAACTCTGTCCTCGATCTCCGGTAAGGGACGTCCGATTAGCGACACGGAGATCCTGAAGTGGGCAAACACAACTGCACAAAAGGCCAAGCCCGGCGTGCGGCCTATCAGGTCATTCAAAGACCCTTCCCTTACGACCGGATTATTCTTCCTTGACCTGCTCGAGGCTCTCCGCCCTGGCATCGTGGACCCGAGCTTAGTCATTCAAGTCAGTGAGGCGGGAGATTATGAGGATCGTCGACAGAATGGTACGTGTGGACTGTGATGTCACTCCATATCAGGGGTTTGACCGCGTCGTTGCAGCGAAACTGGCCATTTCGATTGCAAGAAAGATGAATGCACTGATCTTCCTCGTACCAGAAGATATTGTCGATGTGCGCCCGCGTTTGGTACGATTCTACCTCTTTACCTATTGCACTCGGATCTGACAATCGAGTCATGTAGATCATGACATTTGTCGGCAGTCTGATGGCCATTGGAAACCAATGAATGATTTATGTTCTAATTTCTATTCTGCGTTTTGGCGTTGCGCTGTGTATACAATATAGTCATAAGTACCAAAGGATCTCGCATCATGAGGCGAGCTCAGTAATAAAATCACTTCTATTCTTTGGCGCGGGTATTACCTTGGAGCTCTCGGGCTGTAGATCAAAACGGACACCGAGAATGAACTTGAATGTGGCGGCATTATTCACAGGTACATGGATGAGCTCAGCTTGACTTTGACACAGATCGTTTATGATCTCATTACTCGTATCATACGAAGCAAAATCACCCTCACTTTGAGGTAACAATACCAGACTCTTGTGGCCAACTGGGAGGATAGGGACCTATTTATCGCAAGCTTTCCACTGGGTTATCGAGTAAAAGAAATTTAGGTGGATAGACTGAGCTTCAGGGTGTATGTCTGCAAGTCTCTGATTATACCCACTGGCCCCAAGTTGGCGCATGAGTTGCCGATGACTACATAAGAGTAATATCGCAATCATAAACGGGGGGTGTTCCCCAGGGCCTGTCGTAGATCATACAACAGTATGAAAGATCGGATTCAACAACGCACACGCGAGGGAGCACCGTGGAGGATGCAGTACCTCCCGTCTATGCATCGGTGTAATTTGAACTAATCTATGAAATCTGTCTCAGTCGCGACAACAAGGCAGTTGACTGTTAAATATCTGATCTATCCCTGACGCGGGCCACTTCCAGACGGCTTCTTGCGGCGTTTTGGGGTAGGCGATTCGGGTTCGCTGACACGGCGCCGGTCCCTGCGCGACGATGCAGTCGCCGATCTGTCTGCGACGGGAGATGCTTCCCATTTCCCTACGTCTTGTCTTCGGCGTCGATCTTCCGCGCGCTGCGCCTGGATCCACTTGGAACGTACTTTATCCGACACCTTCGCCGGATCGGCCTTGTAGTGTTCAAGCGTGGTAATGAAAGCGGTATATAGGTTTTCCACGTCGTCATACCTATGCTCTCGGTACGCTTCCTGGAGAATATCTCGTAAGTCAGCTAGGAGATGCGTCAGCGGCTTATGATAATCCGGAAGGAGGGGCGTAAGCCATGTTACGAATGACGTTCTAGGTAGCATCATTACGCGTTGCTTTTTGTAGACCACATTGTCTCCCTCGAAAAGACCTGACCATTCTCGATGAAACTTTGACGACGGGTCGGGGTTGTTAAGCTGCCTACGACGGATAGCTGGACCACTTCTCGAGATACAGACCCAGAGGAGAACCCAAAAGAAACCTTCAAGGTCGTGAATGACACTGTGAGGCGGGCCATGAACAGCTTCCAACTTTTTGTCGTCTTCATCATCCACATCACTTTCGTCGTCACTATGGTTTTCGTCCTCCCAGTCGTCTTTGTCTTCATCTTCATTTTCACCTTCGTCTTTGTCCTTGTCCTGATCATATCCGTGACCGCCGCAATGGTTCTCATCTTCATCTTCATTATCTGTATTGTTGTCGTTATCGTTTGTTGAAGCGACGACACCAACTTCAGGTTGTTCATCGATGCCCTCACCGAAATAATACTCATTCCCCAATATCTCTGCAGACATAAAGGGCCGAGTCCCCTAGTTACAGCCAAACATGAGACAGGTCGACCATGATTGTCAAATAAGCACACTCACAGAAGGGGGATCATTGAGCAGTGGTTGATGCATTTCGAACATGATAGCGTTGTCAAAATCAATGAGTACTCCATAACCATCGGTCCCATCTGCATCACTCCTGATGAGGATGTTCCCGGTACTGGCATCGCGGTGTAAAACCCCACGCCGATACGCACTGCGATGTCCTATTGAATAAATACTCTAGTTTCCGGTAATATTTCGTGATGATGCACCTGGCGGCTCACCAATGACTCCTCCGAGAATAGCGCGAACGAGTTCATTCAACGAACGCGCATACTTGATCGGCCATCCATACGTTGTCGTCGACAGTCTGGAATGCACCATGTTCAGTGGTCTATCGCCGCCTCTCAGCGAGATGGGAGGCAAAAAATCTTCCTCTATCAGGTATCGAGGTGTCGATCCCCATTCTGTCTCTGGCAAAATAGAGTTGTGGTCCGACACTTGGGACTTGGGCGCCTTCTCGGCTGCCTTGAGTTGATCTGCCTCGATACAGCTCGGCTTGTCCTGAACGACCAAGCCGCAACGGATGAAAGACGCAGTTGAAT